ATTAGTTAACTTAAAACAAAAACTACGGTTCTATAAACATCTCGGTCTGGTTAATCATTATTAAATTAAAAACTTCCTTAGTTGTGTAAAGTTTCCCACCGTAACCAGTAAAGTTTTTTAGAATTCTCGAGTGATAGGTGTCGGCGACCACATAAAAATGGCAAAGGTTATCTTTTTCTTAAATTTTCATAGCACATTTTAACTTGGATTTGAGCGACTTGAGCGACATTTAAAAATATTTTATAAGCGAGTATTTTTATCGGTTGCTTTTACAATGGCTTATGTGCGTGTAAGCTTTTTGGATTTAATGATTTTTGACGGTCTAAGCTATTAATTTAAAGTCGAGCCGGTCTCGAATGTGGCAACACTCTCATCAAGTTCATTTTGTTTGGAAAAAACGGTATGAGTTGTGGTTTATTGTTGCCGGGAAAATAACGAAATACAATTTCGAGGACAATTGGGAATTAAGCCGGCTAACAATTTAAATAAAAACAATAATAACTGTTTTATATTGTAACTTGGAATTCAAAATAATATTTTTGACAACGCTGAGTGTCATTTCTGTCGACTCGACACTTGATAAATTAATCATTAGAAGATGTTCTAAAGACACATTGCACAGCCCTATAAAGTGTACAAGTTAAGTTACAAGTTAAACATCAAGTAGTCTGAGACTAAAAAATATGGAAAATCTTTTGTTTTGTTTTTTTTTTTTAAAGCGGGATTTAACTGTTCAATAAGGATTGTTTTTTTGGCCGCAATAAAATAAATTGGCGATACAAAGAAGACAACGCGACAGGGTTTTGTAGAATCCAATAAAACAACAACTGGAAATGAGATAAAACCTGCATTGAGACGAGATAAGTCATTGAACGGTTTCACATTTAATAAAGATACAAATAAAATAAAAATGAACAATGTAAACGATCTGGTTCATTGCTTAAAATCAGTCATGGTAGAAAGATTATAAAATAAACATTCGGCTACATGAAATGTATCTAACATAGGAAACAAATTTTTCCAGAAATTATGAATACACTTTATTCATATTATTTTGTTCGTATGCTGTTTGGTAAATATTTGTACTATATTTTTCATAACTTCACTTCTTATACGAACAAAATTGTTGACTTAATTTTTTCCAATGCAAACACCTTTGTTTAGTTTTATGAAAATGTAGAAACTAATATTATTAGAATAATATTAGCGTTTGAATTTTTAATTTTCACCAATCTGTTTGATTATATTATGACTTTGTCAATATTTTCTTTCGGTTTTACAATATGAACTAGTAGACTATGGACTTTTGAAACTTACTTTATACTGTAAAAAATAACATAAACAAAAATGTTTTACAAGTTGCAAAACGCTTTCATGCCAAAAAAACCAAAACAAAGTGCTGTTTTTATACGAATGGAAAAACATTTACTATTAAAATGCGACCAAGAAAATAAAATGAGAACGGTTACTTTTTGATATTATGTTTTTAATAGTTATAATTGCATATAATATATTTTAATCCAGTCAACGGCCTTTGAACGTGCTTTCAAGTATCTTCGACATTTATTTTATTCTCCAAATTAAATGTTTTTATATTGTTTCTGCTTAGAAAGTGAAATCATTTATTTATACAATGCTTCGGCGTTCGCATTTGAATCATGTAAATGTTTTACTGACAAATTGTTTTTATAAAGTTATCAGCTTATAAGCCATGTGCTTATACTTAACCTGTCTTACATAAGCTTTAACCTACTTTATTTTAACGTGACAATTTGCTAAGTGTTTTAATTCGATTCTATCTTAACTAAAAGGTTTTACTCTCATATCATTACTCACTATCAGAATAAGCGAGTTCATCGAACCGACATGGATTTTCTATTACGACCTATTAGTACATATTATTAAAAGTGTAATATTTAAAAAAGTTGTATATTATTAAGTCTCAAGGTGTACATTGCTTTGGTGTAACTAAATTGTCTATGTTTTACAAAAACAAAATAAACTATTGTGGAAATTTGAACTTTTGTTTTCACAATATTGGAATACACTCTTCTATCTCAGAGGTACCAAAGAATGTTGACCCTTAAAGACATCTTAAGATACTAGGTTAGGTGTGAACAATTTCTAAAAACGACCATCTATTATCTGTTTTCAAGTAATTAATGATAATATACAAAGTATAAACAAGGCACGCGAAACCTTCGCCGCCAGTTTTACTCTGTTTATTATAATAATCGAATAGGTTATTATCAGATCTTGTTTCCTAAGCTGACCTTTCTGTTTGAATAATTTAAGTGGCTGAAAACGAAGTGAAAAAAAAATTATATTTATCATACTAAAAAGGAACGATATGCGCCTACGCTTTTCCGGAGGTTAAACTATATTTTAATAATGTATTTTTGAGTAAAGTGTACGTTTTTTTACTGCGCTGTAAACTTTTATGATGTCATAACGCATTGTCAATGCGATAAAATAAAATAAAATATGTATCACCACCTAACCGATATAGATAGGCAATAAACGTGGCCATTTCAAAACTTTAATTTTTTTCTTCAATACCTACTCTTAGTTATTATCCAAAACGTAGTTTCATTTGATAATCATAAACTCAATAGGTTTGTGCCTGGTACAAAATCATCTGTTATGAAAATACCAGTATCAGCTTAATACTGGTATCTTGATGAGTTTTCACACACACACTGTCAATTTTGCTTATTATACACTTTTAACACTTAAATAAAGAAATAAATCTCGACCGGTAAAATTATGTCTCTGATTTATTTTCATTACTTTTTATAACATGTTACCTTTAATATTTTGCATATTATACTCTTTAGAGTACACTAAACTCATTTTCTGTAATATAACAGAAACTCAATTTCTTAGAAAATATGAATATTTTTAACTTTATTATTTCCCTATATTTTCAGCTACATATTGCACACATATTATAATATATTTCAATACTTTGAAATTGTTTTATCTTCCTTCCTTTTCCGTAAAAAATTACCCATTTTAAGGATTTTAAACAAAAAACAGGCTGATTGGTTAACTTTGACTCAATAAATTGAAAAAGAATCTAGTTATTTTTTTTCCTCCACGGAAAACATCGAATCATGAATATGTTATCTCTTATCGTTTATTTCTTATCTCTTATCTCTTATCACATGAAAGTGAAAGTGTAACATAAAAATAACGACATACAATTTCTTTTATCCTTGTTATTAAAAACACATTTGAAAATGTATGATATTACGTTATTGAACAAAACGATAAAATTACTAAATATTTACCTGTCTTATGCCGGGTTGCGTCAAACTTGTCGTTTACTATTGGTAAATTATTTACCAACGTGCTAAGCTAACTTTTGTTAAACTTTATCTTTTGTTAAATTAACATGTGTTGAATTTACTAGTGTTGCTCAATCGTTGTTTTATATTCAGGTTATTGCCAGTTAACTGGTTATCGAATAAATGGTATCAGCAATAGGAGTTAGTATTATTATTATATAGGGTCTTATCAATGATAAAACATTGATAACAAAATTTAATTATACATACATTTTTACACAGCAATAAATGACCCTGTAATTTAACTCATGATAAAGTACATTCATCTCTGTTTAAATATTTTGTACTATCAATTTTTCGATAGTGCTCTGGAAAGTAAGAATAGTTTTGTTAAACATGTCGACCAGGTTTATAACCGGGTTATGATAACCTGGTTTGAATAATTACGGACGTGTTGAGTGCTGAATGAGATGTTTTAAATTTAGAACAGACTCTACAATAATTTATACCCGACTGTTGTGGGACTTCGGACAAACATAATATCTGCGTGGAATGGCTCGTGTGTATTGACTTCATACGCTCATGTGTGTCTATGTGTCAAACGTGTGGGTGTTTGTAAAAACAGTCAAACGGTTGACGGATCACACTCATCCTTTTGCCTTCGCCGTTCGAATTAATCGTCCGCTTTCACATCTACATTGTGCATACTTTCGTGTGGTGCAAAGTTAGCTGTTGTGACCGTTTAGAAGCGATTCGGTTTGTGTATTGACCAAGCCACAAACTGTTTTCCAACTTGTCAAGGAAGAGTGCGATAAATTCGTTGTCCCACTTGGAGTAGTAGGTATACAGGGTGATTATAACTAAGGGTAAGACACTTATTTGTTCTTCAACCGTTAGCAGTTTTTCTTTTTGGAGACATGTTATTTTACAAAATTGTTTTTTGTGTTTTCCGGAGCTCCATCAAGTTTTTTAATTAGCTCAACTTAATTGGTAGTGTACACAAGTAACACCTGGCGCTTCTTTCCACTCGACCCAACCGCGCTTAAAATGTTTGTTTCACATCCTCATCAAAGCCACCGTTTTTTATACAACAATTCTGAATTGTCATTACTTGTGTTGTCCCTTCAACATTTTGCCCTTTTCCTCCAAACTCATACTATATATGTTTTGTTTTACTTTTAAAATCATTTTTAGTCTCTTTCTTTCTCCACTCCTCGAGCCTAACGATATCTTCTCCCAGATTTTCTCCTACTAAAACTATATCATCTGCAAACATCATGCACCATAGAACCACACCTGTATCTGCCTTATGACTTTATCTAACCCTGCTGTAAACCTTTTTTAACCCTTAAATGCTATGTTCTGTGGGAGACCTATTTACTAATGATTGAAACTAAAAAAAAAAAATACTGTAAAAGCTACAAAAATGCAACTATTTTTTTTAAGAGAAAATAAGTGTCTTAGTCTTACTGAATCAACATGTATAGACTAAAGTACCTAGTACTGGCGCTAGTGAGATAAAATAAAACCTTATATGATAGTATGATGCAATTTTGAAAGGGCTATCGTGACAATAGAAAGCATGAAGGGTTTTTTGAAGTTTTTGGTATTATTTTATAACATTCGACTATTTTTTGTGACTAATAACCACATAATTATATGTACAAGTCTGTCTCGAGATTATTCATTAACTACAACACTATTTTGCAGGTGGAAAATGACTCATCTTCAGTACGGGTATCAGGACAGCCATGTCTTAGACTTGGTAATTGCAGAAAGGAGAAAGAGCTGCGAATTTATAACGGACGGACTGCCAGGTGAGGATAATTTTTCAATTATATGAATTGGAACCAATTTTTCATTAATATATTATCATAAAAAAATATTATAACCGTATACCATCTTAGCTGCACACCGATTAGCATAAGGTATGGAATTGTAGATAAGACGAGATGTGTTTATCGAATTAGAAACTTTCTAGACGTTATCGGTATGAAAATATATTGTCGAATTTTGCTTTTGTCATTTCAACAAGTGACGTGAACTTTCCGATGACATTAATCATTTGCTTCAGTACAGTATGTTTCAGCAAAAGCCAATAGATTAAAATATTCAGTTGACTGATAACGCTCTTACCGCATCTTCATGTGTCAATTAAAAAATAAAATTAAAAAAAAAAATTTGGCTAAATTATTTGGTTTACAAAATGGTTTTGCCAACGTTTCGAAAGCTTTTCATCTTCAGGACGATTGCTTCAGTCTACAGGCAGCAGTGGGGCAAACAACACCAGCACAGCCTTGAAGATGAAAGATGAAAAGTTCCTGAAAAGTTGGCAAAGCAAATTTGTGAACATAGCTATAACTATAAACGGAGTTGTGCATCGGTCCAATAAAACGTTATCTAAATAATCATTAAGCAACATATTAATTAAGTTAAAGTTATTCGAATAGTTCCAAAAATAACTATTCAAAAAATAAATCACAACCATCTTTACCATTTTTTTCTTTTAAGGGAGTGCGTTTTTAAAATAAAATTCTTTTATCTATAAAAATACTACACAATTTTTTTTTGTATTTTAGTTCTAATAAAAAATGATACACTTAAAATTATAACAAAAAAAATTTTTTTTTATCTACAATAATTAGCGAAATACTCGGAAAGCGATTTAAAGAAATTTCGCTCGTTTAATCGTTTCCACAATATTTGGTAAGTACAGAAAATTGTAAATTTAAGTGCTATAATAATTTTAGTTTCTTCGCACAGCCGTTATTATAATTACCGTGTATTTTATTTAATCCATTCAATCTTGGGGGTTTGATTTGATTAAACGAAATGTGCGGTGCCTAACTCTATAATTGGTATTTATATTGCATATAATTTTGATGAAGCGTTAAAATTATCCGAGTACAGTTTTAACAACTACAAGTACAATTTGTTTTTAATTAGAGACACTTATATTAATCGGCCACCTTGCAGTTCCTAAAAAATGGGGACGTTTACCTTTCTCGGTTCACATATTAGTCAAGGGATTCTTTATGACAAAAAGATAAAAAGCAAATGCGATAAAAATAGAACATCTTTTGGGCCATTCGCAGACTGATGCGTGTAATCTTTTGAACAGAGTTTTCAGGTTTTTTTTAATAATTCTTTTATGCCTACGGGGTTCCTTTTTATTATGAAATATTACATTATTTCTATGCTGAGGTCGGTCGGACAAATAAGGGTAAACATCACAGTCTTGGGTACACAATAAGTCGGTATTTTTATTGTGTAAAGTTGAATATTATTTCTACAGTGAAATTAATGGTTGACAAACTTTTCCATATTAACCTAACCTAATCTAACCATAATACTTAAATTTTAACTTCAAACAAATTAAATGTTGCCCTTACAATGATTTGCATCGAATCGTTATAATGATTTTTACACTGTGCTGGAATTTTTAAAACATTTTTACTTGGTCAAGCAACATTGAATGCAGCAACAATGTTTTTTTTTTTTTTTGTAGTACTTTTATTAGGTTTTGTTTTTTGGTGTTCAGAAAATATTGATGTTTTATTAAACTGTGCTGTGTGGGAATCGTTTTATACCAGCGATATTGTGTGTCCCAAAAGTAAGTAGTCTATATGCATGACACGGCGACATTGTGCCATTATGTTACATGCTACGTGTAGGCGTTTAAGTGTGAATATTCTCTACATATTTAAGCAAACAAAATATCAACAACTGAGTGTACTATAAAATTCAGTGCAAACGGTACAAAAACCTAGCAAAGCGTTTTCGCTTAATGAAATGTTGGCAAAAATAAACTAACCCCGTATTATGTTCATATCCGTTTTCACAGTCCACAGGTTTACTTCTCTTTTTTTTTATATAATATGTAAAAATCCCACGCAACTTCAGTAATAACTATAAAAATAAAATTCCATTTGAAATTTCTGTGTACGTTCCCAAGGGGTACTATTTACTTGACTTCTCTTTTGAACAATTTACCAGATAGACACCGCTGTACAGTGTAAATCATGCAAATGATTGTAACATTGAAAATATATAATATGCAAATTTGGCTTTTGATGTAACCAACGCGCCAATTTGAATAATACCGATTTCAGTAGGGCAACGTCTTAGGAACCGAGAAAATAATTAAATTTCACCGCCAAGACGATCGCAACAGGGAATTTACTAAAGTAAAAATATAATATAACATTGTTAATTTGAGTAATGATACATGGCCGTCAGCGTTTAATTAATATAATATCTTGTTTCCAGACTCTGGACTTTTTAAGATTATTTATTACATAAGCCGACCTTCTGTTGAACAAAGGCCTGACGTTGAATTTCTGTTTAAAAATCTCATATTTAATTATGTATTTTTTTTTTTAACTATAGGAAGAGCTAAAGGTACGCTGAAGATAAATTACAGTATTATGCCGGGTACAGTATAATCTCAACCCGGTAAAGAGTGTCGAACCTGTAGTTGACTAATTTCTTAGTGTGCTGACTTTATAATGTGCCCGTTTCTCGTTTGACAGTGGGTTATACTCCTTTAAATTTATAGCTATCTTCGAACCGCAGTGACCGACTTGAACTATGCTATGCTGGATTTATTTGATCCGTTTTAGTTTTTTAAGCAACCGAATAATTACTTTGGTAAGAACGAATGCGGATGTCACGGTTATAAAATATGTATTTCCAAAGATTTATGAGACAGTGGAATTGTGTACAGCTAAATTTATAAATATTAATAACTTGAAAATGCCAATTGTGCGTTTAACAATCGATAAATATTTACAATCGTGAATATAATTGAATAACTTAGTTTCAAATTTAAAACAAACAGCACAGTGCGGTCGAATCTGGAAATAGTATAAGTTTTAAGAGAAAAATAATTGTAATGGCAAAAATGTGTTTAAAATTTGATTTTTAGTACAATTGTGACAGATTTTGTTGAGAAAACTTTATATGTTATAGTCCCACTCTACCTTTCAGTCTTATCTATCAGATCATAGGCAAAATGAAGAAAAAGTGTCCACCCCTTCTGGGACAAATGGTTTTAATGTTGTTTTCTAGATCCGTCAACCTGTATTGGTAATACTAAGAATATTCCCATATAGGTACAAATTTGTTGGAAGTTTTTCTCTATTTCAAAAGGGAAAATAGTGTACTTCTTGAATTTTTTCCCATATATTTCTAATCTATAGACTCGTTGTGTGTGAAATAATTGTAAAGGATCTAAAGATATACATCATTGTAAAAAAGCAGTTGAAGCTAAAATTATAACTACAATATAATGTTCACAGAGAACGGCCACGTCGACGGTTGGTGTCCCCGAGAATTCGATGGGTGGACATGTGTGAACAGGACTAAAGCCGGCGAAGTAGCTTCTTTTCCGTGTCCTTATTTCATCCTTGGATTCGATGCAACACGTGAGTAACAACAGCTTTGGTATAATTTCAGTGTAATATAGTTTTGAGTAAAATATATATCATGTCTTTACTTAAATGGATGTTACATCAAATGCCTTGCCCATAAGTGCTCGTTATAATGTAGTGTGCCAGGTAAAACGGACGTTTGTGCTTGCTGTGTCTAATGCTCAAACGTCTAGTCGCCATTGGGAATGGCGTAGCATAATAATTATTCTTGTTACCGGACATCAGGAAATGAGGTGGTTGGAATGTAAATGGTTCCACAAGACATTAAAGTCTGTCTGTGAATATTGTGTTTTTGGTCGTTTTGATGTTTACCATTTAGTTTCAAATGTACCGTGAAACGTTTGACGGTGGTTTTAAAAACTAGGTTGTGTGCAGCCCAACGGCTGCACATAACTTCATCACTACAATATTGAGGTCAAACAAGCTAAACACTTCATGACCATTGCTGAACCAATTTCGTCGTGTAGCACTTCTTTGAGATCAGAAATCATATCTGAAAGGTGCTTTATTGGGCGAGTAAATATGTTACACAATAAGTAACGGTTAAACGCATATTTTGTAAAGGTAAAAATGTGTTTAAAATTGTATTTTTAGTACTGGGGTTAGGTTATCTGCGCTTTTTGAAATGTAATCATAATGGATATTATTAGGTAGGGTACCAGTAGGGTCAAGTGTTATTAATGAGAATTAACAGGACAGCAGATTTTGGAGTGTCCGACAAAAAGGACGAGCACGACCGTCTCGCTTTTAATGCTAAATATAATACCTATACGGTTTAATGGTCTTAGGCGACCTTTCAAAAAGATTATAGTGCTAATGCCGTTTACGACTGGTCGTCATGTGAACACATAACATTATCAAGTTTAAATTATTCCTAAAATGTTTATGGTGTATAAACTCCAAGGGATATTCCATTACCAGAAACAAAAGCAAATGTTTATAGTAGTATATGTGAATATTAATTTTATCCTATTTAAATCTTCTGAGTGTAGAAATAAATTATTTTTTTATGTGTTCTTTTACCGTGTTTACAAGTGCTACTTACATCATATTATACTGCTTTGTCCCTTCATTGGTGGGTAATGCGTTTTGCTATGGTCTAAGAGCTATGTGACCTCAATTAGGGTTTTTAGTAACATATTTGTACAGACACAGTCTAAAACCTGTTAGGGTTTGTCAGGTTAGTTTTAGCGTTGTTTTGGAATCATCTGCAATGTTTTCTATCCGGATGTGCGTGCGCTGTCTAATTGGAAAAATTGAATGACTGACAACATTTCCATAAACCGTTTGGGAAATGAATTATTATTCATAAAATGTACATTGTTCGCTGGGCAACACGAGTAATCGTTTAATAACTGTACCTAATAATGGTTATTGGCGAATCACTTATGCCAGCTTTGCATGTTGGCGCTGTTGCTTTCTATTGTTGCAGGCTTACAAGCTCTCGAAAACATAAACAACCGCGGCTTTTAGCATCATAGACAAAGTGTAATTAATTATTAACAATACAGTCATTGTGTTTGCTACTAAATCATACAGTATTCATATTCTACACAACACCGCTAAGCTCTTTCATCCCGGCGTTTTATTATTCAACGTTGCACCCTTACCCGCTTTAGAAGGGTCGACCAAGCCGACAATCCGCCGTCAATCTTTTTAGCATTATTTCTCGAAATAGCATATTATATTGTACTCATTTTCGTGTTTTAACTTCAGATCAGACGGGTAACGACCTAAATAAGGGAACCTAACATAAACAAAAACATAACAAACCACCTGTACCTATTTTCATCCGTGGAGTAATAGAATTTTGCACATTTCGAACATGCTTAATATGTCGTTAAATCAACCAATGAGAACTTAAAAGTCCAAACTACCAACTCTGGCTCATACAGTCATCAGTCTAGTTAAATATCTGAAAGAAAATAAAGCTGAATCGAACAACCATATAAAAGACGCATAGTAATTCAATGTACAAACTGTCAGAATTATGGTCACTCTAAATCCTATCGTGTACACCTAACCTAACCAGAATCTAATTTAGCTACACAGCTTTCCTTTCTCATTTCTGAATTTATACTTGTAATAAACCCTCTTGTACCATTACTCACAACAGTTATAAATAAACTCATTAAATATAGCCTGTAATAAATCAGTATATAAACGTACTAAAGATATTACTTTGGAATGCTAATGGTTTAAAACAACACGATTCTGAACTATTAAACTTACTATGAGAAAACCAAATTGATCTGTCACTCATTTCCGAAATCTATATTAATTTTCATAATATACAAATCCCTATTAAGCTTTATTTGGGCCTATGCAAAACCATTCCAACTTTGTACCTTACAAGTCTTCCAATCCATCACTCCAAGTATTATCTCTTGAGTGAATCACTTTAAAAAAAAACACCTTGTATATGTATTGAGACATTCGCATTAGTAAATTTCCTTGTATCGCAGTGTGAAATATTTCACTATCTCCGTCCTAATAAAAATCTTAAGTTAAATCCGAGAAGAGATGTAAAACGTTCGTGTCTCTTGTAAATCAGGATAAAAGCTGGGCGTTAACCCACAATGAAAAAACCTTGTGTAAATGGTTCCCCTTGCTTGCACTTAGCCGATTACCCGTGTTCACATGACACTAGTCCGAGACAATGAGGTAAAAATGATAAGATGTTCGGGCTTTTGATTATTAGGTACATCTGTGCACAAAAAATCCATTTATAGCAAACACTATTTGCAAACAAAAATCTGTTTAACAGACACACGTTTACTCTTAAAACAATTGCAGTGGTCTTTTTGGGGCCACTTTAGTTTAAGTTAAACTTCTATAACTTAAACGGTAATGTATATTATGTTTAACTAACTTTTTAAATTGAGAATAAACAGCTGAAGTCGTTGACAAACCGTTGCTAAAGTTTAAAAGTAATTATACAAACAGCCGGTTTCACCAACTATTGTTAAATACACTCTTAACACAATGTTAGTTAACAATTCATTTAAATTCGACATCTGGTTAAATGACATAAGTTTCACTCTACCATTAGTATTGTTAAATTATATTTGTTAAGTTAACTAAACGTTAATTGGGTTACCGAGTTGGAATCGAGGTAACCCTCGATTCCAACGTCCTCATTAGTTATTAGGATATGTGATAACTGATAAGTGATTGTATGATTTAATTTGTCAGTTTGTTATTATTTGACATTTTATTTTTCTTTCTTTTGACGTTTCGGTCTATATAAATAATTTATACATAATTTTTTAAAACATTGTTTAGATAGTATATTTTTTTCTAAAAATAGTTGGTCACCAAGGTCATTAAAATATTTTTTCTATTTTGAAGGCCTATGGAAAAAAGGTAGACAGACAAGACATAACAATATTAGCTAAATTACAAAATACAATAAATTATGATATTTTAACCTATAATGCAAAGTCTGTTCTATTCCTTTATACTTAATCTACCTATATAAAATAACTTCTGCTTACCTAATAAAGGGCTATCGAAGTTGTCTTTTCTATTGTTCTCTTAGACACTCAATATCAAGAAATTCCTCATCAAATGTGTGACTCATTATATACTACTAATATAATCAGTCAACAAAAATTATGAAACAATTTCAGAACTATAATAATATAAATATTATATATATATATATATATAAGTACTACAATACATTTTCGGGTGATTAATTTAACAATCGTTTTGACAATGTGTTAAGGCTAACAAATCTCGATGAAACCCAATTATTATTAACTAGTTGTTAAATATAATTAACAATAAGTTAAATTCTTAACAAATTTTGGTGAAACCGGCTGAAAAGCGGTTATCGAATTAACTATTTCATTAATAAATTATATTTAAATTTATAATTAAAACGTTTGAGCATAAATATCGTTTGTCAATTGTCTGCACGAAACGAGACACAAACCATAATAATTCGTTTTGTCTGTTTGTAAGCAAACGCGACCGGTAAAATGTATTACTTCTAAAGATTTCAATTTATTTTCTAAAATACCATTTCGTTTCAAACAAATATAAATAATTTCCAGATTGGAAGACAAATACACAAAAGAAACGCACATCCAATTAAATTCTATCTATATTTATGATGCAAAAGTAAACGGTTTTTTGTAAATTATTATTATTGGTTATTTGAGACTTATTTTTCTCCAGGTATTGTATTAAAAAAACATGCTGCTTCAATAACAATTTTCACGTTGAAGTATGTAAAAATTATATAATTAATAAAATTATTACTGCTAAAAGTATAATTTCATTCAAATCTTGTTAAAATTTATTTAAATTAATTTCATTTTCACATTTTTTCCCCCTGAAATTTTCTATATTATTTATTATCCAACAGATGAAAAAACATATTAATTTATTTTTAACATTAAAAAAATTGATGTCACGCCGAGACAGGTTGTGCTCGGCTGTAATTTATTGCAATATCGTTTGAAAGAATCAATTATTGTCTGAAATTCAATTTATTTTTAGTCAGGTTGAAATTTTAAAATGATTTTCCAAATTTTACATTGTCAAGACGAAGATATTGTTTTGTTATAAATTCAACGCCACCGTTGCGCGCATCTTAATAATAATTTATGAGCTTAACTCGACACTTTGACAGTGTGCTTTCAATATTAAAACAAAAAACGGTATGGTTTTGTGTTTCTTATTTGTTACACCCTGCAAGAATAATGCAAAATTTGTATTAATATAATAGTCAAAATGATTGGCACAATCTTCGGTTTTTGTTTAACGATTTTTGTTCACTGGATCCGAAAACTTGCTCCATCGTCGGCGGTGGCATGTTATAATAACAATTTTAAGATCTAAGACAAACTTTCGGCCAATCTCGGATTAAAACATTCAAGCTGACAGAACAGAATAGAATATAATATTATTTTATGCTAATTTCCACTATTAAGTACCGCCAATATAGATTGTAATACTAACCAAACGGGAAAACTTCTTATCAAATAGACAGAAGATAAAACCAGATTGTTAAATTCTGTTTGTTAAGTTAACAAAATGTTAGTTGGGTTACCAAAGCGGTTACCTCGATGCCAACGTTCCCATTAGTTATTAAGATAAGTGATAACTGATTGTATTATTTAATTTTTTCAGTTTGTTATTATTTGACATTTTATTTTACTTTCTTTTGACGTTTCGGTTTATATAAATAATTTATATATGATGTTTTAACACATTGTTTAGATAGTCTATACCTTTCTAGAAATAGTTTGTCATCAAGGTCATTAAAATATTTTTTTCTATTTTAAAGGCCTAAAAAAAAAGGTAGGTAATGATAAGAATTATTTCCATTGTTATACTCAGGACAGACAAAACATAATAATATTATCTAACTTATAAAATACCTAACCTAACCTATAATGCAAGGCTATGCCATTCCTTTGTACCTAATCTACCTACATAAAATAAGTTATTTAATTATATACTACTAATATACTCAGTCAACAAAAATTATGAAACAATTTCTGAACTATAATTATATAAATATTATATATGGTGAAACCGGCTGAATATGTAAACCGTGGAGTATATTATGTTTTTATAATAACACAGCCAAGGGCGAATTGAGAATGTACCTGAGATTTCCCCGGGGATGGCCAAGCAGGAGTCTCTTTTTTGTAAAAGTGCAGGTGTTTTAGAGAATAAGAGCTTTTTTTTTATTCACATTACTATGTCTTACAATACTTCCAACCCTTAAGGGTTCACATATTTTCTCACCACACTCACTTTGATGAACATTTCCTGTCATTATAAGACATCGGGAAGGATATTAAAATATCTTAAACTTAACACAACTGAGCTTTCAAGCATATTGCACTTAGATTATATTATAATAATTATTATTCTATTTTCGGCGCCAGATTTAGAAGAAGTGTGGAAATTCACTTGGGGTCCGCTCGGGACCATAATAATAAAATATGAACAACTTGTACGAGGGGTGGTGACGTGGTTGAATACACGTGTACACCCTTAGCCATTCACTTTATATTTTGGGTTCAATAGGAATTTCATAAATACATTTTCTGTATTAACGTTTCGAGTTTCAACAGTTCCCACATGTTTTCTATTTGTCTATCCTTTTTGTACATTTACTTTTACCATATCAATGTTCGTTAAAATACAATACAGAGAGTGATCCATTAAAGATAAGATGCTTGTTTTTTCTTAAAAAAAAATGTTAACGTTATTAAAACAAATACAAGACTTTTGAAGAATATTTTTCAAAGCTTAAATAAACATCTCATTGAAAAACTTGTAAAACTTTTTACAATCCACTGTATGTATTATGCAAGCACACATATTGTAAATGTAACTGAAGACATGTGTATATCTGAAAATTATCTACATAAAAAAAATGGTTTTTTTAATTTTTTATGTGATTGAAATTTTATTTGTCGGTATTAAATTTAGACTTACAAAAGCAAGTTTTGTAAAAAAATGGAAAACTTATATGTCTGTGTACATAATATGTTTGTGACTGGTATAACCGTCTGTCGCGTTACAACGTCTGCAATATTAAAAACATAAAACTAAAAACTGGGTGATCAATTTAACATGTATGAAACTCGTTTTCGTTAAAAATTGTTGCAATTTTGTTTTTTTAGAGACACTTTAGTTTATGTTATCTTACAATAATATTCAAACTTGTATTTTTTTCTAGAGCTCTATCGACTTTTAGAACTTAAACGGCAACGTATAAGTTTAATTAACTTTTTAACTTGAGAATAATTTGCTGAAAATATTAATAAATGCAAATCGTTTTCCAAGTAAACGAGTTTTTTACGCGGTAAACTGACCACCCTGTAGTTATATACATATATTTTTATATGGGACAAAAAGTACTTGGTTAGGTTAAGTTAGATTAAATACATTAATTACTCTGTATATTAACTGTTGTCAATATTTACCTTTTTTTTTTTGTTTAATAATTTATGTCGATGAGTTAGAATGGAAAAATATTAGATTCTAAGTCGTAAATTACATAACAATATTACATAGGCCCAATTGTGGAGGCCTGGAGGACACCTAAGTCTCTGTGATCACTTTTCAGCCCTGACTGAATTAAGGATAACTAAGGAACCAACAAGGGGGGAATGTCAGAAAAGGAAAGTATAAGTTGAACGGTATTAATCTATCGTCGACGAGATCAAGACACAAAAAAAATAGCATAGTCGATATTTCACCACGAGGTAACTTCTTCGTGGAAGGGACCCAAAAAAGGGAATTACAGTGAATGATTAATCGACAAATTAAATGGACGCGTTTCTTATTTTTATAAGAAAAATAAAACATGTTTCTAAATATGTATTATCCCGTGTTCTTTATTTTAATAATCATGTTTTTGATAATGGATTTACCTGTATTGATAGATCACAGTTTATAGGTTATATAGGTAATATTGTATAGGAAGGAAATATATTAACAGTTTTATTACAGCACATAGTATAGTAGTTTGTAAACGTACAGTAGGTAATAACTATTACATGTTAAAATTGATTATTTTTATAACCACAGTAGCAAAGTTTATTGCTCAGTATATTTTCATTATAAGACTTTCGACTAATTTATTGGTTTGTCTTAATGATAACGGCGAGATGCGTTAGTAAAACAAACAAAAAAATACTGCAAACTAACGATCTGAAACAAAAACTTTTTAAATTGCCTTTTTTTTTTTGTGCACAATCTACCTCGTAATTTTATAATATATTATATACATTCTTTATTCGGATAAGAAATATCGATTCGTTGAGTTAAAATATGACAAAAAAAAAGATGATGTATTCTGATAACCGTCGGTGTGCTGAACAACTTTACTTCAGAAGAGTACTAATATTCTATATTGCGGTTTGTTTTACAGGTTTTGGTCAGAAATTGTGCTTGAAAGACGGCACTTGGTTCAGACATCCGGAAACCAATAAGACGTGGTCGAATTACACGACTTGTGTGGATTTAGACGACCTAAAGGTAAATATTAATACATATATGTGTGCGTGTGTGTCTTTGTCTGTGTGTAGATCTTATTTCTAGTAACGAGGCTAAGCATCTTTTGGCCACCTGAGATTATTTGGTTTTCCCTACCACAGTGAGTTGATTGACGTCCCAACTAACACAATCCCCGAAACAGGTGTGTACAGACAAGCGTCCATCCTGGTTATTTATGTATTCCCATCGAGAACGTACAAGCTCCTCTATTGTCCGAAAATCGCATTTATTCGGTCAATGAGATCCAGGTATGTCCGTTGGTTATCTTTGGCTCTAAGTTAACTTATCGTCTTAAGGAGGAGAAATTTATTGGTGCCATTTCTAATGCAGAATCAAAACGATAAGACACAACACTTAATTGCAGCAAGTCCAACGTCCTATCGTGAATTAAATTCAAGAGTTTGGCTCGGTTGTGACACGTTTGGAAGGCATATGGTCCAAGTTATTAATCGGGTATTAATGGCAAAGATGAGTGGAAAAGACCCTCAGGAAAGTACCGAACTGATGTGATAGCAGATCTTGAAAAATTACACAATCAGTTACAAAATATGAAAGAGAAAGGAGAGGGAATATCAATCAGGCAGTTTCAACCAAGTTTCACTTAACTGGACCCAGATTTCTAAAAAATGTTTTATTATTGGAATTTAAAAAAAAAAAAAGGATAAATAAATAATGGGTTGCTACACGAAAAAGAAGCAGGAATGAAATATACCGTTTGATTTTTTAATATATATATTTTATTTCCTCATGTATTTGTTCCAACGATTTTCTTTGGTGTGATGATGGACGACCGACCATTTACCTTACATCCCTCTTTTTTCCCCTCTCTCTTTCTATATAGGTATATAAATATTTATATTTATTTATTCCACGGTATAATAATTCATTTTTCCCTCTTATTTCAGCTGAGAAACCACGTCAACATGATCTACAAATGGGGATATACCGTATCGCTGGCTGCATTGCTCGCTTCCATATTCATTTTTTTCTATTTCAGGTTAGTACCGGATAGTTTATATATTTTTATGACTCTGTCGATAAGGAACGATACGGTTATATGCGAGCATAGCAAGGGATGATTTCCATCCCTCAACCATCGTTAAGGGTAGAGCGATATTGGCAAGACAACGTTAGTTAATAGAGGAAGAAATACTTTAAAAAATGTAATTTAAAAAAATATTTCACAGTAGTTTCATATAATTTCTTAGCTATCTGCTGGAACGTCTTATGTACGAGACAAGAACAAAATTTATTTCAGTTTTAAAAATAGCATCGAAGCTAAAAGTACCTTGGCACGTAATTAAAATCTTATCCCAGGCTTAATGTTAAGACTGCAAGATAAATTTAACGGCCTTCGTCACACTGAGAAATGATTTCGCCCAGAAATAACCAAATGTTCATCAAAATGTGGACTTATCCTTTTCTGTCCGTTCATTTTAGTAAGATTTTAATATTATTTAAATGCTTTCAAATTAATTGTCTATATAAAATACAGTGTAAATATCACAAGGGTAAAAGGACAATCAGTGTTGTTTAGACTTATTATAAAAATACCCAAATCAAATAGGGAGGAACAAAAAAATAAATAAAAATGTGTATATTTTATAAATTATTGTGTAAAATATGAAGGCACTGACACAGACATGCGACGGTCTTGGTCCTGTTGGATTTGTGTTCGAAAATAAATCATTGGCCATGCGATAAATAAATAATATAATATATTATATGGCCACGCTTTTCATTTTTACATTGGTAAGCCATCGGGTACTGTTTTTTTTTTTTTTTTTAATTTTCATTGATACTTTGATACATATTGTTTTTGTCACGTTGTGTATGGAAAAATATTTATACTAATTTGTAATTCGAGATCAACATGCAAATCAGTTTGGACGACGGATATTGTTTATGGTAATGCATAATAATTGTGGTAAACTCATTGGCCCGTTTTGGTGAAAAAGCGTTCATTTCGAAGCTGTTACTTATTGTTAATTATTAAACTAGTGTAGTGTGTGTCAATAGCATGCTCTGTCGCATCCTCATGTCACAATCGATCATGTCGCTTGCCAACAACCTTATCTCTCCATCGATGCCATTATTTTACCCCAGACGATTTAACTGGCATCGCCTGTTTAATTTACGATACATCAAGCCGCTCTCGGTTGTATTTCTGGAACTTTATCGTTTTAACAATCGCTTTATCGAACAAACTGTGTGCGGTCCTTGTATCTACACAGCTGCTGACCTGATACAATTGATTATTTAGTGACCATAAATCGTGCATAATGTACATAACAGCAGCGCTGTACTATTTATACAAGTAAACGCTGGGAATATTTATATTCGTTCCACTTTTTGAGGGGGGAGGTTAATAGTGGAAAAAAGAACTTATTATGTGTTGTCGAAACAACTCAATACAATAGTTAACTAAATTAACAAGTTGCATGTATACAACATATTGTGTTGAATTTATTTACATTAAATCGTCACGAACAATAGACTTAATAACATAAACGGATGTTGGAATTTCAAGCCGAGTGGGTTCTTTAAATCGAATTAACTGTTAAAAGGTTAGGTTAGGTGATGGTAACATGATGATAACACCTTTATATATTTGATAAATCCTAGAAAAAACAACATATATCATGGACAAAACCACAACAGTCCTCTGCTCCCCTCTCCTAAAAAAGCCTAAATAATTACAATGTTTCTACATTTCCAGCTTCAGCTCGAAATCTCACAAATTTGTTTTTATTTTTTATTTTCAGAAGTCTCACTTGTACCAGGATACAAATACACAAGAACCTGTTCATATCGCTGGCCGTGAACAACTTCCTGTGGTTAGTATGGTACGAAGCTGTGGTGGATAATTTACCTGTGTTGATGACGAACGGGGTAAGATGTTTTTTTTTTGTTTTAATTCTCAAAATGTCCAACTGATGTGAATAAAGTAAACACTGTAGGCGGTCGTTATTTTATTATAGATGCAAAATTGTAAAAGGTATTTCATATTCAATTTACCCGCATACTTGAGTAAATTGAATTTTCGCGTTTTACATTTAAATTTAAAATTAATTAAATTTGTTGTATTACAAATGACTAGAAATCGTTTATTGCTCATTATAATCTACTCATTATGTACGTCAAATGCATTTTTAATAGAAAAAGATCTTTGGAAATAATCTTTTTCAAACAAGATATTCAAATGGTGACTGCCTCAGTCAGGTTATTATTTATTATAATTTAATTTTCGTTTGCGTTTTCATAGATTACAGTAAACAGAATACGTAAAATACATATTTCAGTTGTACGTATTTCATAATTTCATATTTTATTTGTAATTTTTTTTTCATCAAATTTAAAGTGTAATGGAAAAATGAAATCCTGTATTCATTGCATAGCCGCATGATAGGTGTACAGAATTTCCATACACGCCTGATTTACTTTAGTTTAAATTCGGCCTTGAACAATGGTATTGGGCTTACAATAGTGTTGAATTTTGTAGAAATATTTTCAAAATGTAAATTTTCGCAACCTAGTTTTTATGCTGCATATTAGTTAGCATAAGAGCTGTATATGAATAATTAAACATAGTTATAAAATTGATTGCATAACATATTGGCGAACGGGGTAGAACAGTTTTAGTATTTGGGCTGAGTTATGAGAGACAATGAAAAAAATGTTGGATGCGGTGGAAATATGCACTTAAAAATGAACGGAAAATTGTATAAGACTAGTAAGGCTAGCAATGATGGCTGAAGTGAATGAAAAAAAAGTAAAAAACCAAGTAGCTGGAATGTCGAGAAAGATGCATGGAATGACTAGGTTATAGAAGATTAACAATTAGTATAACAATAGATAGTTTGGTAGTTTACCAATAACATTAAAATTGTCATATTTTTCTTGGAGGGAAGACATTGTATCAGTTGATTTTCTGTCTCCTATCCAGGAATTATTGATTTCTTTTTATGGCCATACCATTCCCACCTCATCACCACTTATCGCTATCCGCCTCCTACCCCATCATACCAACCCTGGCCTTGCCTTTAGAGTCACAGATAGGTCACAGAAATTTTCGACAGATTCTCAGAAGATATTATGTTGAGATGATTTAGACGTGAAGGTAGTACAGTGAAACAGATAAGATATATTAGTGTCGGGGGATTCAAAAATAGAGGTAGATCGAAGAACAAGTGATCAGGTATGGATCATTTTCCAGGTATCGAGCCTAGTTTTCGTTTAATGACCGTTGAAATATGTTTCAGTTGGGCTGCAAGGTGCTGCACGTGTTGGTCCATTATTTCTTGGTGGCCACGTACTTCTGGATGTTCTGCGAGGGACTATACTTGCATACTTTGCTGGTGGTCACGTTCATCACAGAGACAAAGGTGATGCCGTTCCTGCACACAATCGGTTGGGGTGTACCCGCCTTGCTGGTTTCCACTTATGTAACTGTCCGTACGAATACTCCCGGTGAAACTTTACAGTGAGTAAACGTTTTCATCTTATGTTCGGGTTTGTGGATTAAGAGCAGGTAGGAGACAGGGATGGTGCAGGGGGATGTGTTAAAGGAACCACTCAATAACTGATGAGAAATCATCAGGAGTGGGTAGGTTTCATTAGACATATCCACAAATGGTTTATCCTCCTCGATGAGGAGGAAATTGTTTGCGGACATTAATAAGACAACCTAATACGAAGGCATCCGTGGCAGAGGCTATTTAAGATTATCAAAAATGTAACTTTAACCACAGTAGAAAAGTGCAGTATAACATATAGAAAATAATGTGTTGCGTTGGTCTTGGTGCGAGCACTTTATGGAAGCTATATTTTTCAGTCATCGTGGACTTTTTTGACGTTTCGCTATTGTTATTGTGAGAAAACCGCAATGTAACTTGATCAACCATAACACAAGGCTGTCTAATGCTCACATAGATGAATTACTAACAATAAGCGACGAAATTCGACCACACACTCTTTGTCAATGTCGTCTGGCCAAAGTTTTTTTTAGTTGTATCAATATGGCGGACGACCAACACTCGATCCTTGTTGAATTCAAAAACTTTTAATTGTATTTTTGTGTAAAATCGAACCGTTGTACGCTTTCAATGTCGGTTAAAAAATGTGATACTATATTCATTTGGAAAAACAAGTTGGAAAACGACAAAGGCAATTTCACCAGAGCGCAGTGCGACTGGACAGTAAGTTGCCTTTGTCGTTTTATGAAAAGAAAAAAAAAAGTACAAAAGTCGTTTGTCAGATGAAAAATCTTGTAGCACTTACATATATTACCGGGAGGAATTGGGGCTACAAAAATAAAATCGTTTTCCCGGTGAACTTGACTTGTAAATCTTGGATTTCTCATCATGGTGCGTGGGTGTTTTATTTTTCGAGCAATCTTCTATCGCCAACGCGTTTATTGCATATCGTGTATCGCAAATCACTGGCAAGACAATATTTTCAAGACCTAAGGGTCAACTTGGAAAATTTGTGAGATTTGAATTTGAAACTGATTATGTTGATTTATTATTACTAAGGTATTCGTTCGTTCTACTTATTTAACAAACCTTAAACATGTTATGATGCTTCTGCGTTTATTTATTTCAACACAATTATATCCAATACCGTTATTACATTTTTAATTTTATACAAAATACTGTTAAACTGATACAAACAGCCAATGAGCAATGCATTTGGTATTGAGAGTTTTTATTGTAATAAATTAGTTACTAATCATCTAAATTTAATCTAAACCTTTATGGCCTACCTTAGTAGTAGCTCTCTCTTTAAGTGAATTTTTTTTATAGTTATATTGTAAGTAAAAGCAGCAAAAGTGTGACAATATATTTTTACAACCTCAACACCATTATTCAAATTATTATTATAATTTTTGGGGTGCAACATGATGAACTTGTTGTGCTTGCTAGTGTCATTTTATTTTAGGTCTTACGAATAATTATGTGTTCTACATTAAAGATATCCTTTTGTATAGATTATAATATTAAGATTTGTCTTCAATAAAGTTTATGAATTGAGAATATATTTGTTGTTATTACTCAATTTTTCGATGAATATGTTTTCTGGACTTAAGTAGGTTTAACATTTCCTTTCTGTTTAAACATTCACAAATTTATTTCTGATTGAGTTTATTGGCTAACTTATATGTATTTTCCTTAAAACATGATTTTGAATTTAATTTTTAATGTTAACATTGAAAGTTAATTATTGTAGTGTTGTGAAAAATCAATACCAATAACCGTTAAAACCGTTACCGTCACCGTTAAAAAAACCCAATTAATAGCTTCACCAGCACAAAACTTGTAAATATAAACATAATTTATTATATTCAACAGTTTCCTTGCAGACCTCCAACAACAAGCTTAAATATACACAATTTCACTAATTCAGTTCAAGCTTTTTGTCTATAACGCTTTACCACTGTGCATCTTGCAGTCTTGGTAATTTGAACAACAAATGTTTCATACTGTTGTACCACGTTTCACAACGTTTAGACACAAAGTCTAAAAACAATTACTATTGCGCTTCTACATTTAGAGCTTTGCTTAAAATTTCGCGGATTTTATTATTATTATTACTTCCAGCTCGGTAGTTTACAAAAGCTGTACTTAACTGCTGTTTTTGCAAACTTCATAAATGTTGTATGTTGCTCTTATAATATTTCTCGCTCAGTACTGGATAACACGAACAGTGTATGGATTATTCGTGGGTAAAAGGGTTCACTCTCTGTTATTAATGATGTATATGCTGGTGTGTACGGTTTGGTCGAGGGATGGAAGACGTTTTAGCCACAGTACAATAATTAACGTCGGATATCCTTTGGCGAACGGTTAATCGCCAGAAGGATTTAACTAATGTCAGAATGTAATTTTTCGTTTTGAGCGAAAATGATTTCTCACGAAGACAATGGTTTGCTGGTCGAAAGTATTCGCCATAAGTATAAAGTATACAGAGTGATTCATTAAGACACTTATTTTTCATAAAACGGTTACAGTTTTTTTATCTAGTTTTGAATAATTTACTTTTAAAGATATTATTGCTTAAAAGTATTTATTCAAAACTGGTTATCGACTAAAGGTAATTAAATACATATTGAGTTGCCATGAGCTGTAAAAAAAATAAAAAAGGTAAACATTTGAATATTGTCTAATGTTTGTAAAATGACAAGCCAAAGTGTCTCCAAAAACAAGCACAATACAAATAGAGATAAAACGTTTTTTATTCTTAATGAACCGCTTGTATTTAATATTTGGCAGACATTTCTGTCTCCACGTAGCTTTTTTAATAATTATTAATGGCACCGAGGTAATTTTAAATCAACAAACTCGGCTGTTTGATTCGGAAAATGTTGGCAAAAGTGATGTTTGTTTAACAATTTTAAGATCAGAAGAATTGAAGAAAAAATATAATAACAACAATATTGAGAAATAACGAAAATATTTGAGTGTTCTCGCTAAAATGATAAGAAAACATACTAAAGATGTGAAGTTTACTTTGGAAAGTTTAGTCTACGTTCTATGATAAAAACTCAACACATAATCTCAACAGTTACACAAGTAAAACATGGAACATGTTTTGCAATTGAAATAAAAACTATTGTAGATCCGTTATTTTTTTTATAGAATTTAGATTAAGGAAGAGTATATGGAGAGGAGAAGGTAACCAATTAAAAAGAACTAATTTTATTTTAAAGGTTTTAGACTTGAATTGTTATGGACTTGAAGATGGCATGTTTCGTTTGAATATGACATCATGATAAGAGTTTAAGTTAGGTTGTATAACAATAAACTTTAGAGCACTTTACACTAGGTATAGTGTCTGTGTTGATTAATTTATGGAAACCCACGGTGTTTACTTTTTTGAGAAAATACTAGGAAATTCATTTGAGCGTGTGCCACTTAACAACATAACACCTTGTCGACACACTCTGAAACTTTCATCTTATTTTCTGTTAACAAGTTTCTAGTAATCCAATAATTTGTATGATGAAAACAGTAAAGTATCTCTATCGACTCTTAAAACTAAAATAGTGACATACATATTAAATTACATTTTTGATTTAATAAGACGGAATTACTTTTATCTTCTAACATTATCCACCCACCCTAAATTTAAAACTCTAATAACTTAAAAGTATTAAAGTATGTTAAGTGGTTGTCCAAAACTGGTTAAATATTGCCTAAAATTGTTGAATGATGTACACCTAATTGTCATAAAAAAGAATAACTACAAAATTGCAATTTTTTAACAGACCCTTTCTGTCGTCTTATACTTGACGAATCACTCTTAATGTTTGGTTGGTCGGATTCATTATTACTGAATTTACCTCTAGGTTAAAGTAATATATTAAATAGCAAGATAAATAAAATGCTTTGAAACGCGGCTATTCATTCACCGGGCGCATCCAATGTTGACTGAGCGTTTCAAGTTTCGCCACCTTCCCAGTTTTACTTTTAGCCGTCACTCAAGTTGTATATTTCCACAGTATAAAATTCAAACAAAGTTCCATTTTAATATAAACATTATTCACACTTTAGAACTTCAATACACTGTATCGTCCAACTATCTTGACTGGGAATTGCAACTTTTCTCTGCATAATATGTAGAACGGTACGTTGACTTTTAAAATGAAACCAATGCTCGAGGGTTATTTGATTTAAAGTTTTGATAAAAAAAAAAAATAAAATAAGCATCAACTGATTTGCTATTTTGTTTGATGCGAGATAACAGAAAACATATTGTGGGATTTGTAATAAAATAAAAATAAACGTTTTTATATCTCCTTAACCTAATGGTTGTTTAACCCGTTTCGCACGTTATGCGGACTATAAAAGTTAAACGGTTCTGACGAAAAATACCCAACAAAACGCTGACATTTTTCACCAAGTACATTTTGGATATAGTATAAAACATTCTTACAAAAAATAATTGTTTTATATTAGCATAGTTTTTGTTCTTAACAAACACCGCTTTACCTCACACCGCTCATCACTAAATAGAATGTGTGTAAATTAATGTAATCTTAAACATATCCACTAGAACATATGCAAGTTATTTCATTTGTCGAATATTTGTGAAACGTTTTCAGCCGGTTTCACCATCATTTGTTAAGAATTTAACTTATTGTTAATTACAACTAGTCAGTGAAAATTGGGTTTCGTCGAGATTTGTTAGCCTTCACACATTGTCAAAACGATTGTTAAATTAATCACCCGAAATCGGCATGTTAAAATGTATTGTTGTACTTATATATATAATATTCATATTATTATAGTTCAGAAATTGTTTCATAATTTTTGTTGACTGATTATATTAATAGTATATAATGAGTCACACATTTGATGAGGAATTTCTTGAAATTGAGTATTTAAGAGAACAATAGAAAAGACAACTTCGATAGCCCTTTATTCGGTAAGCAGAAGTTATTTTATATAGGTAGATTAAGTGTAAAGGAATGGAACAGACTTTGCATTATAGGTTAAAATATCATAATTTATTGTATTTTGTAATTTAGATTATATTATTATGTCTTGCCTGTCTTGAGTATAACAATAGAAATAATTCTTATCATTTCCTACTTTTTTTTTAGGCCTTCAAAATAGAAAAAATGATTTTAATGACGTTGATGACAAACTATTTTTAAAAAGGTATAGACTATCTAAACAATGTGTTAAAACATTATATATAAATTATTTATATAAACCGAAACGTCCAAAGAAAGTAAAATAAAATGTCAAATAATAACAAACTGTCAAATTAAATCATACAATCACTTATCAGTTATCACATATCCTAATAACTAATGAGAACGTTGGAATCGAGGTAACCGCTTTGGTAACCCAATTAACGTTTTGTTAACTTAACAAATAGAATTTAACAATAATAATGTCATAGTGAAACTTATGTCATTTAACCAGATGTCAAATTTAAATGAATTGTTTACTAACATTGTGTTAAGAGTGTATTTAACAATAGTTGGTGAAACCGGCTGCCTGTGTATTAAATACGGGGTTTTCCCAATAAATATTTTTATAGTTGAATTATTTATGCGCTGATTTGACAATAACGCGGTGAAAAAATACAAGTGGCTTTTTCCATCTTCGTCGATAGAAAGCTTTTCGATTTCATTGGCACTTGTAAACAGTGATGTCACCGCAAGGTTAGATTTTGAAGAAAATAAGATGAAAGTTGTGGAGGGCGTCGACAAAAGGAACACCAAGATGTTATGTTATTAAGTGCCACACGCTCAATCGAATTTCCTGACATCTTCTTGAAAACGTTAACATCGTGGCTTTCCATAAATTATTCAACGCAGCCACTACACCTTGTATAACGTGCTCCAAAGTTTGTTATTATGAAATATAATAAACGTTAAACACACCCAAGTACTAAAAACTTAGATCTTAAGATGTTATGTTCAAAATAACTATGTAAGCCCACATAAATGGACGCCAATAAAACCAATAAAACTAAAAATAATTGTATTTGAACTGAGAAAGTGGATCAAATAGTCTTAAGATGTATGGTTTTAAAAATAATTTAAAAACTTAGTATAAATTTAAATGGGGTTATAACTTGGCTAAAATCATGCGAAACAAATCAATGGTTTGGAAGACACTCCATTCATTGCACTCTTTTATTATGTGATTGGCCGAAGCGTTTATACTATAGTTCTATGGATGTAAGGTAGTATATAATGTTGGAAGAGATAGCAAGGAACTGACATGAATATTAAAAGGGATCCTTAACTCGGGATGGTCAATTTATAAACTCACTAAGTATCAGCGGCCTGTGAGGAAAGACAACTTTAATCGACAAACGTTCCAAATAGGACTTTTAAATCTGTACAGAAGGTCTAAAATGGAATAAGGCTTGGAATCCAATGAACGAATTGACCACATTAGAGAGAAAAAAAACTAATAGTCGTTCAGCAGGAATAGAGGAAGCGATGGAATGTCATCTCTATCAGAAACTAAACGAATCTCGAGTGACTGATCCGTCTATGGAAGTTATTAAAAAGTTGCAAGTGTTATAAGTATTATTTTTGGTTTTTTAACCGACATTAAACCTGAACGAATGGAATTTATAATTACGAGCATTATATTATAACTGGCGACGACGAGGCTCACGAGGCCTATTTGATCGCAGGTGTGGGATTTTCTCAGGCTAATTAGAGAAGCAGTCGAGTAATATATTACACTTCTCCTGGTTGTCCGGCCAGAATCTTTGCAGGCGATCAATTCACAATGAAATATGATTTCCTTTCACGACAAGCGCCGTGCAATCTTCTGTTATAATTACAATCTTAACGCGTGTTAGCCATGAGCCGTGTTTGCTCAAGGTGCTTAGCAGTTTAGCTGCACGTGGGTTGTGTGAAATTTGCACTTGGGGGTATCTAACATATCGTATTAAGTGCTTATAGTTACTAACGAAAATTAGCGGACCATAGACCTGGATATGGATAGGAGTGATCTTTTAAAATAGCTCTTTCAAGTTCCGTTCAATGGCGATTTCTGATCAATTGATTTGCGTTATATGACCTAACCAGTTTAGGAGATCTCGTGTTTCGGAAACTAAAAACATATCATTATAAAAATCTGATCCCAGCAGTCGGCTCCGAAACCACTTATAATAGATACATTAACGTTTAAAGGAGATTCTAGAAACACCCGTGTTTGTCTTGATAACTGTTTTATAATGTAACTATGGTGGCTGGCAAATGTAATTTGAATAAAAAGTAAAAGTTTCAAAAAAGCAATTTCGATACTTAAATATGATAAAAATATGAACTTAGTTTTGTATAGTATAATATTGTGATTATTATTCCACTGTATAATTATGTTTACAGACAGTGTATTGCGATTCATGAGGTCTCTGAGATGAAGTCAAACGCTAATGTACACTAGAATTTTCTCTGCGAGGTTAAAATTATTGGGAAATAATTCGGGCGCCAACAAACACCATGTTTTCATTACCCTGCAAAATAAATTATTACTCTTTACAATTATTATTACCATGATAGATGGAACCCCGAGTTTCGAAGCAGTCGTGTCATCAGTTTTATTAAAAAAAAAAAAATAAACATAAAAAAATTCTAAAGTAATATATTATGTGGTTATGTTTTGTTTGAGATGCGTGAAATGTCAACTTTGACAAAGTACCGGTGCCAGATGTCTGACTTGCGGATATAGCATTATGATGGGCATCGCGTTATTCGCTAGTAGCCTAATCGATTTTGAGAAATTCCTCGGAAAACCCTAAACAGCGTTCGAGGAAATTTATGAAGTGTCAGATATTTATTTTCTCGGAAAACTCAAATAGATTTGGCGAACCGAGGTGAAATTTTCCTTGACTACATTTTTTCCTCAAATTTGCTAATAACCAGAGTTCAAAATGGCCGAAAATTTTCAAGAGAATTGGAAAATATTCGAAAAACGGGGAAAATTGAGAACAATTACCGACACTGAATAAACATATTCCCCTAAATGAAAGGAGAATTAGTTACTCTTCTGAGTTCAGCGTTCTCAAAATTTTACAAAAGTACACCTGTAAAAGTTTAAGAATATTTTCAAATAAGTGACCCTTAAACAATTTTTGTTTTACATAATTAAACGGTTCGAGGAAATTTATTAAGTGTAAGATATTTAATTGCTTGGAAAACTAATGAATTTTATGAAACCTAGGTTTGCCTTTGTCTGCAATTTTTAAGGTCGCTGATGGAAAAAAAAATACAATATTCTACTGAAAGCAAAATATAAATGAGGCTTGAGCTCTGGCTTGTGAGAAATTGTGAATCTTGGAAAATCGGTTACCAAAAAACAAAGTTGTCTTTTAGATCACAGTCATAATATATGATCAGATGGACGTCGATTTACTAAGGTACCCTTAAGGGGGTTGTTCTATTTGTCAAACCATAAGCTAGAAAAACGAGGACATTATTTTTGGTATGCCAATTGCCAATCCTTGTTAAAAGACAGCAATCGCCTAAACGATAACCGCCAACCTTCATAATTCACAAGATAAACTTTATTCTCCTAACGAAGCACAACGGCCAACCATAGAATTAACGCATTTTCCCAAACGACTGGTAGATGGCGCACAGTGAACTTAATTAGTGAAATTGTTCATCATTACATTAAATCCTAACGGGATGAGTTTACAATTTGAGGTCTGTAAAGAAACCTGTCGATTATAATACACTCAATTTTGTTTATCTCAACATGTCTTTGTTTGCATACAGTTCAAACCGTACATAAGTACCTACATTTTCCCCTAAATAACTTAACCTAACCTAAGTATACACTGCACTTAAATAATGTGTATATTTATTTTGTTTTCCACTAGCAGTAACGTCGTGGCGTGAACAGTATAAAAAATAAACTAAGTTACTGTGATTTCGGCTAAAAGAGTGATATGCATTTTGCCCTCAATCAAATTCAATTTGTAAATCTTTCAGTTTTCACTAAGTTACATATTTTTCGAATTTAACAAAAATGTCGGTTTAAAAGTGCAACACATTTGTGATTAGCGTCAAACCTTTGTCTTTTATTAAATAAATAGTTTACATCACTTAATATATTATAACTATTTTATACATAGGCACGTTTATTATTGAAAAAGCCACAGGTCTTCAGGAATATAATTCCAATTGAAACTAATAAAGTTATTTTCAAATCCAACGCTACGATGCGAAATTGTACAGAACTATTTAATATTAATATAAAACATTTTTAAAACAATACACTTGTTTGTATTTGTATTTTTTAAAAAATTGTTTTTCGAAGGGCGATTTGAAAAAAAAGTATTTAAGTATGTATGCTATGAACTTATAAGTTAAAAATAATCTACTTAACATTTTGACAGGTCGATTGAAACATTTATAAGATGGTAAAAAAATACATTAATAAAAAAATGTAGAAAGTTTGCAAATGTCTATTATTTTGCGAAAACAACGTGCCTTACGTTAATGTTGTCAGTTAATATTTAATTTATACAAATATTAAAACAAAATTTCCACAGAAAAAATGTAAATGCTATAGGACCTTACTAGATCTACTTACTGGCTAATTTTTAGATGCTGAAACTTAAAACCTAATAGAGTTAACTACACAAAAATGTTCAGCCCCTTGTAGGGGAGACGGTTTCTTTCTTTCAGAACATTCCACACAAATTTTAAAATAATCAGGTCGAGGGTTTCCATTTTCGGCTTTGTATAGTATTTTTTGGGTAGGATTTCTGATCTGATCTTGCTTGATGAAAAAATCGGTCCAGCTATTTAAGACATATTGTGAGTCCATACACCACAAAAAAAAAAAAAGACACATCATCATTACAATTACAATACTTTCTCGGCTCCGCATCGTAGCTAAGATTTAATAAATCAACAGGTTAAAAACAAACAATGGCACTCGCATATATAAAAAGAATTTATAAATACACTCATCTAATATATATATATATATATATTTTGTTTACAAAATGGGGTTGGTAATTTTTTGGAAATAAATGACAATTGTGTTTGTTTTTCCAGTTGTTGGATACACGAATCGTTGTACTTGTGGATACTCTCGGGCCCGGTGTGCGTGTCAGTGCTGACCAATTTCGTCTTCCTCATCAACATCGTACGACTTTTGTTGATCAAACTTCACGCCAGACAAATAACCACGGCCAGCCCAAAGCACGTGGGGTCCAGAGAACGCGCACAAACGTTTAGTCTTCGCAGGTAACCAACGAATTTTGGACCACTCGACCTTTTGAAATTGACTTTTTTTTCGAGACCGAGTGACAGTCGGGTCGTTAAGCTAACCTTATGTTTGACTTAGCTTCAAGAGGAACAACACCAGCGTGGACAGCTTCGAGAAAACCCATACGGGCACGGGTCGCACCGGCAAGGCTGTCAGGGCCACGCTCATCCTGATTCCACTGCTCGGTCTCCAGTACATGCTAATGCCATTCCGACCTGAACCCGGCACGTCCTGGGAACCCGTTTACCAGGTCACCTCAGCCGTGGTCGTGTCGTTTCAAGGCTTATGCGTCGCCCTGTTGTTTTGCTTTTGCAACGGAGAGGTGAGATCCACAGCCGCCGATGGTTCGAGTGGGAATGGGATGGAGATGTACGAGGAGATAGAGGAGATAGTATAGAAAGATGATAGGAATGGAGAGAATAAGAAGAAAGGAGGAATGGAGCCTGGAGGTGTAGGTTAGGTTGCAATAGTAATAGTAATAATTCATAATCTCTGGATAACTGATTGAAGAGATTATTGGCAAGTGAATCAACTGATAAGAGTATTTTCGAATGTATATGAAAATGATCGAGCTAATATTTTAATTCAAGAACGTTTCAACACATTAATAAGAGACAATCAATTAGGCATATTCGTGACACAATGTTTTTCTGCTAAATGGAAAAAATGTAATTTTGGTGGGTCTGTCGAAAACTTGTAAAGCTCTTGAGGCACAAAGAAAACGGAGAGGGAAGAAGAGATATGTCGATAAGTGTGCGCGAAACTTTGTAGTAGCAGGTGAAATTTTACAGCACGAGGAGAGGGAATGAAGATGGAATAGTGATAATGGGAAATCGATGATTTCTGTGCAACTGATAAGAGATGATTGTTAAGAGAATCAGCTGATAAGAGATGATTGTTAAGAGAATCAGCTGATAAGAGATGATTGCTAAGGGAATCAACTGATAAGCGGTGATTGTTAAGAGAATCAGCTGATAAGGGATGATTTATAAGATGTTTATTTATTGAATGGAATAATCCGTATTCGCAGGTGCTGTCGGAAATCAAGAAAAGATGGAAGTACTGCAAGGTAAACAAGAACGGGTCGTGGAACCCGTGCCTGAAGATGACCGCGTCGTCGTCGCACAACCACCCGAGGCTTTTGGTCACTGACGACGCCCAGACTCAGGTGAACTTCGTGTCCACTTCTCCCACGACCGCCTAAGTAGTCACCGGCCGGCCATTCAGTGTTTTAACGTTGCTGCTGTTTGTTCCAGAGGACGGGCAGTGCGGTTCGAGGCGTTCAAACCGATCAACTGTAGTCGAAATGTAAACCAAACTCTGGTCAACGGTGTTCCTATTTATAATAGTTAATAGTATGTACATAACGGTAATAAAATATATGGAAAAATCAACAGTGGCAGCACGTTCAGACGATCACGTCTCTTATTTGCGACTGAGCCGGTTGCGTTGTGCCGGTTACGTTTGTGTGCGTTGTGCCTCTCCTCTTGATTCTCCTGATGTACTTGTGGAAAGCGCCGTGCACGTCCACGTTGGCGAAACAGAACAGTACGGACACGCATAGACCCTGTAGCGAAAATTATAAAATAAAAATGTCAGAGTTAATATAAATTATCCTAGAGATGTAAAAGGAGAAAAACATGAATGTGTTTTATGGTCTCTAGCTGCTACTAATCTCAACCGAACACGTCATTGTGTGACGCCAGTGTGACCACAAAAAAAAATCCTCCTATTTTACAGTGTGGCCAAAGAAATATTATCAACCATCTGTAGTGCTATCATCATCAACAATGTTTACGTTATTATTGTATAATAGTGCATACAACATTTTCGGTATTTTAATTTGGCCCTAATGCATTGAGAGCAAACCAATCAAAAATCTTTATTTTTAAATCTATTGTTTTACAATGAAGTGCACTATCTGGTTTAATTTAATCTGTGACCTAAAACACCTGATAAGTAATAAAATATAAGGGGCGGTGAAAGATAAGAAGCGGTAAGAGATAAGGAGAATAGTGGAGCACATTTTAATCTTACTGAAGACCGGTACGCAATTGTTGCTATAAAACACATTCATGTTAAAAATTATTTTAAAAAATGTTAATAATACTGATACGATTTAATTAAGGTTGTTCATATTGTTATTCCATTCGATAATTTTTCTAATGATTAAAACATAAATAAATTGTATACTTGGGAAATCCCTGTTTTGAACTGTATTAACCATACCCGGTTTACATTTACTATGTCAGTTAAAAGTCATAAAAGGTAATTCGTGATCCCTTTTCTTAGTTAAATTACCTTATAGCAATTACTTTTGTAATAAACATTTTAATTTAAGCATTGTTATTGTCGTTAAGTCAAGGAAATTCCAGTTTAATTCAATGTAACAAGGTTTCATCTTCTATTTAATGTTAATTGAATTGTATTTTATTATAATTAGCGTAGTGATTTTTAGCTTAGATTTTAGCGTTTTCAAATTTTAACCAATTATATTGTACATTGATTTTAAGAGAGCTAATCTCAAATTTTTAAAACAATAAGAAACTTAATCAAATTTACCTTATCAAAAAAAAAAAAACTAAGATTTTTTCTATTACTAAATAAAAACATTTGTTAGTTTGCTAAATATGAGAATTGCCTTTTAGATATAAAGAACAGATCAAATTTAATCAAAAATATTATTAAAATTAATACTGTACGGGTAATAATAATTATTTTTAACATTCCAATACTTGAACAGGTAATCACGAATTATAGATATAACTTTCTATTTATATTTAAATCTTTATAAAAAAAATAATTTCTTTATTGGTAATGCCAAAGTTGGTCCTTATAAAGATGATTTGTCGCCTATTGTAAATAATAATAATAATAGTATTAAATAAGTTTATTCGTATAAGTTTGTATTAAAAATTGTTGTAATTAACTTTCCTAAATTACGTTAAATGCAAATATATAATAATATTTCTTCTTATGTTTATTTTTTTTTTTTGGAATTTTCCTTATGTTATTGGTGGAACTAATACATCATTGTTGACCTCACTATAATTTAATAGAATTTCGTTTTGATTAAAGAAAAAATGTAGACAAAGTTGCCGTCGAAAAAAATCAGGGACAACCAACATTTCTAATTTGTTTTTTTTTTTACCACTAAATAGATCTTCAATATTGGTTTAAAGATGAACTGATGCATAGATAAAATATATCATTTATTATTTGCATTGTTTTTAAGATTTTAAAGAAAACAGCTACTTTGAGTAGTTTTAGCCGAGCATAAAATACAATGATAAAAGAATAGTAAGGCTAAGGTAAAATTATTGAAATTATTCTAGAAATAAGACATATTATTTTTTATGTTATATTAATACAAATAATATTAGACATTTTTGAAACAAATAGTTATATATTATTATATTAATTATATATATATATGCGTTTGTGTCTTAATTGTGTGACTCGGAGTTAAAATTTCAATATTTTCTGTCTTATTTTTAACAATAAGTATCATAATATAATCAAATTAGTATCTTTAATCGAGTGATCAGTTTCTGTTTAAATGTTTGAAATTGTCTCGGTGTTTTTTAATTGTTTTTAGTGAAGAAGAACGTTGAAAATCATAATTTCCTCGATAACACTTGCCTGAGTGGGCACCAGAGCCACGGTAAACAGTTGATAGATCTTCTCCCAAGTCGTATTGTGCGGCGGACGGTAAGGGATGAGTATGTGATGAATACCGAACAGTGGCACCAGTATCAAGGCAGCCCTGACAGCTTTCCGGACGCCTATCGGTGCCGGGTTGATGGAGTTTCTGTGCAATTTCGTCAGCAACACTCTCATGACGTTTATCAAGAACAGAAGGCTGATGCATATCGACGTCAGTACCGGTATGGACAGCGCCCAATGGCAACGGCTTTCTTCCATCCAACACCTGCAAATCGGAGAAATATATTTACAATTTGTGCGCTTGGCGAACGCGACGAAAGGTATCCATCGTCGGAAGGCTTGTAGGTACAAAGTTATGACGGTTTTAGCACATCCAACAACGGGATTTGTATACAACGGTCTTAGTGTGGAAAGCTAGTATTGATAAAAAAGGATTGGGCCTAGTAAAGACTGCTGTTGGGGACTTTCCTTTTAGATTTAAGTGTGAGGCCCCCCAAGGAAGATAGGATCGCATTTCTATGCACTGTTACTGATCTGAAACCAACTGTAACGTGTCTTGAGGCGTGCTGCTCCTCCACATGACATACACCGATGTAACTACAATGGGAAATCCCCAGCCAATGGCGTAGAACCATCGCATGGCGTACACGTCGGTGACAAAGACCACCACGAGAGCCAGGTGCAGATGAAGACCTTCGCAGAACATCCACATATAGTTGGCCACCATAAAGTATTGCAAAAGTACGTGCAGTATCCGACAGTAAATCTGAAAACAAATAATGCAAGTTTAGTTTTGAACTTGTCCGTTAATGAGCAGTAAATTGATTGGTCCTTTGATGAACCTCTACTCTCTTACTAGGAATTCTCTGTTGGCCACCGTACAAAACCAGATTAAGTAATTTAAATTCAACATTTTAATTAACGTCAATGATAAGGTTCTTTGGACGTGTTCAGAAAATATTGACATTTTTTTCTAGTTATACTTCTAGATGGAATATGTTAGAACGGTCGCTTCAAAAGACCACTGCGACACATTTTTTATCACCAGGTTTCTGCTTTGATGATAAATTTCAAAACAGCTGAGTCGGTTGATTTATTAAAGAATAATCACAAACAAAACCTTTAAGATAAACTTCTCACTATTTCTGTAACGACTGGCAGTTGGAGCATAAAAAAATCCCAGTACAATAGACCGGATACTAAATGTCAAGTTAGCAAATCCAAAATATCATTCGAAATCCTTATTATAGATGTAGATTATATTACCTACGTACAGTCTATTTTTTAGCTCTTAAAGTTTATAGCAGGTAAGTGTAATTAGAAAAGTACTCGAAGCAGGCAATCATCTCGGCCTGGCTTCCAAAGTATTTTCCTACATGCAGTGTGCATAATAAAAAAGTTGGGCGATAAAAAAAAAACGGCTATTAAAAATGGATCATAAAAATCTATGTAGGTAATAATGATATGGGCAATAAGTGAGAAAATGCTTGGTTCGTGTGCTTATTTTTATGTCTTTCACCGACGGATATCTTACCCCGTTGGACTGGAGCACCGTCACGTCTGATATGACTAACTTGTACCATATTATCCACGCCACGTTGGTGAACACCAGCGATATGAACAAATGCACATGAATGGCAATCCTAGTGCATCGTAAAGTCCTGCAAGTTAAAAAGACAATCAGCCGGTTTCACCAACATTTGTTAACTATTTTTAACAGCTTCGATAACCCTTTATTAGGTAAGCAGAAGCTATTTTATGTAGGTAAATTAGATAAAAAGGAATGGATTAGACTTGCAATATAGGTTCAAATGTCATAATTTATTGTATTTTGTAATTTAGATAATATCATTATGTCTTGCCCGTCTTGAGTATAACAATGGAAATAATTCTTATCACTACCTACCTTTTTTTTTTAGGCCTTCCAAATAGAAAAAATTCTTTTAATGACCTTGATGACAAACTATTTTTAGAAAAGTGTAGACTATGTAAACAATGTGTTAAACAATTCTATATAAATTATTTATATAAACCGAAACGTTAAAAGAAAGTAAAACAAAATGCCAAATAATAACAAACTGACAAATTAAATAATACAATCACTTATCAGTGATCAGTTACCACATTTCTAATAACCAATGAGAACGTTGGAATCGAGGTAACCGCTTTGGTAACCCAACTAACGTTTTGTTAACTCAACAAATATAATTTAACAGTGCTAATGTCACGGTGAAACTTATTTCATTTAAACAGATGTTAAATTTAAATGAATTGTTAACATTGTGTTAAGAGTGTATTTAACAATAGTCGGTGAAACCGGCTGATTTACTTTTAATTTAATTGGAGTTGAAATGTAGATAAGAATAATACTTCAATCAATCGTTCCCCGTGTTCTAAACATTAGTAACTTCAAAAGTGATTATATAAGACTAGTGTTATCGACCAGTCAACGTTAGAGTGGTGTAAAATATTTCCTAGTTTAAAAAGTTAATAAAGTTACAGTTGACGGAGTGTCTCGTCCTTTTAATAAATCACTGTGTATTTTTTTATTCGATTCGGATGACTTTAGCTCTGAAGATGTTTGCCGAGTCGAAATGAATAAAATAATCCGGCTGCCGAATCGAAAACCACGGATGTAATATTTATGTGTATACTTTAATCGTCAAAAGGCAAACGGTAAGAGGGACGATATTTGTTTGGGCTTTCTTTCGGCGGTTTTCATTATTTCAACGGGATTAGTTTCGGAATGAAAAAAGCAATTTCTTAACAAAAACCAATACCTACGTTTGCCCAAAAACCGGCCAATAATAATAATAATATAATGTTTTCGCATTTCGGTCACAAAATCACCACCACACGTATATATTATTACCATTGTGTTTGTCAAGACCTATTCCACATAATGACAAATATACCCGTTTGGTAAACCCGTTTTATTTTGCTTTTCGGCTACAAAACAAAAGCTAAAAAATATGTGATTTTTTTTTATATTTACTTGAACGTGAAGAAAATCAGCAACGACATGACCAGAGCGGCCAACGAAATCGAATAGCCAAAGATGAACAGTGAATTCACCAGGTTTCTGAACTATAAAAAAAAAAATAAATACAATATCAGTTTTATACGTGCAATAATATTATAGTAAAAAATAAATAAATCATATGAACCGTTTAAGGGGCAACAACTCATTCTACTTGAATGGTATTGTCCTTAAGAATACACAAATTTTAGCTTAACGTTAAGTTTTGGAGAAAAATTGCCCCTTTAGGTTTGTGTAAAATATTTTTTAACACTAATTTTCTTGGAAACCATTTGCAATTTTGTAGTTTATCTTTTATGAGACATTTGTTAGAAAATCAAATTTGTATTATTTTTTCATACTTTTTTGGAGCACTATCAACACTTTAAACTTAAGTAGCAATATATGTATACTTAAGTTTAACTTAAACTTTAGTTTTTAAAATTAATTATCCAAAACCGGTTATGACAACATTTTCAGCAAATTATTCTTAATTTAATCATTAACTATTGCTCATGTTTCAAATTGATGATTGAATTGCCTTTTTGTTCAAAATTGATTTTGCAGTGATCAAAGTGTTTCCAAGGTTTTGGGTAATTTACAAGTGTTATATCGTTATGTATATTTAAATGCATTTCTAACATATATGTTTTAAATCTATCATTTAGATCGTCTTCTGCCATTTTTTCACATTCTTCACTTAATCGTCTCATCTAATGTAGGCGCGTACTTAATTGCTATGGTCAAAATTGACTTTTAAGCATAGAATTTTCTATGTGTGGGTTATTATTTTTGTCTTATCGCCTTGTTTTCGTTTTGTCTTACATAACTCTTAGTCTTAATATTTCTTTTGTGTTAAAAAATACAATTCTTATGAGATGCGCAGTGGTGTTAAGTTTTGCGACTGATTCATTAATAATCATAGTATCACATTTACTTGTAAATCGTCGGTGTTAACACAGTCTGTGTAATCCGCCCAATATTTTCCAGTCGACGGCGACCTGTACCAAGTGCCATTGGGCATACATTTCTTTACTGCGTACCCTGAAACACAGCAAAACGCTTTATGATTAAGATTTATTATTTCCTTCCTACACAAATGGTGACGCCTAAAAGTCTAAAAAAAATCCTGAAATATTACAAAATCAGTTACAAGTTTGCTCTACCGACTTTTGGAACTTATAAAGCATGTAATTTGCTTAAAACGTCAACTGGTCGATAACCAGCTTGAAATAGCTACTATTAAAAGCATTTAAGTTTAAATGATAGGAGGAATGGCTGAGTGAAGTATTTATTTATGTGTAATCAAATTATTATTATTAAATTTAATATCTGAGCTTCAAAAGTTCACAGAGCTCTGGAAAATACTAAAAAAAAGGTAAACGGGTAAATATTTTGTAATTTTATAAACGTCCTATTACTCATCTCATGTCGTTAATACCTTCTTTTTGGGGGTTTTCCAAAAAAAAAAAAAATTTCTCATTCTATATCCTTTTCACCGCAAAATATATCATAATATACATTATTCCCTTCTGACCTTTTCATAGCCGCATTCGTGTAATGTTGTTTACAACACACACACGTAGGTTCACTATAGGTTCAGATAGAGTGGAAAAATATTACACTACAGCATAAACTTGCCAGGCGCGTGTAGTGGAGTTTAAAAAAAAATATATATATACACAACTTAACCATATTTTATGGAGTTCTTATAAAAAGGAGAAACATTTTCACAACGCTTATTATTATAACTAGAACCCTCGTAAGTTATGACTGTCGATGGCAATCGGCCTGAAGTCCACCTGAAAAAGCAATATTTTACCGGGGTTTTTTTTTTTTTTATCCAACTATAAACTTTTAAGTATGTCTTTTATCAATATTTCATAAACGCCAACATTGTTCCAACTTTTTCCGCCGCTGAGTAGCCGTCGAGTACCTACTTATTTTCTTGCCATTAAATCATAACGGCCATCGTAAAGTGAAAGCTCGAGGGAGGTTCTAGTCTCCTTTGAGATTTAATAGCCAAGAGTTTTAAATCATTATTAAGACCGGCCATACGTTAAAATCACGGGTGCGTTTTCTTTGTAGTGTACAACGGCGGTTAAAACTTTTGACCTTTTAAAATTATCTTGACATTGAAACGATTGCCCGTGCGTTTTATTCGAGCTTCGATGCGGTTATTTAATTCTCAATTTGGTACTTATTCATTTTGGCCTCAACAATACTCGCCAATTGTGAATGCGTTTCTATAATTTTGTAAATCGATCCCAATAAAGTAACTTGAAACAGTTCGGACGGTACTGCCGCCGTAGAAGTTTTGCGGTTGTCTAAAGTTTCTTACATTATATAAACCATAGCGCAAGGAGCAATTAGTCGCTTCCCATACAGTTAGCCAAAATCTGCCAAAATTGTTGTTGAAATATCATTATTTAGATAGTGTTTAACAAAAGCGCGCGATACTTATCTAAAAGCGAGTTTGCAAAAAACAATTCAAAATAGGATTACCGATTTTTCAGCTTTTAAACTTACTCTCGTGTCCGTCTACTAACCAGAACTTAGGCGTTTCATTAGTGGATTAGTAGCGATTGAACAGGAAAGTTTCCAAAAAAAAAAAAAAACAAAGGAAAAAGGTGAAAGAGCGCTAACTGGAACTTCAACTGTCCAACAATTAATTGGGAATTACGCCAAAAAGGTCAACATTAGTGTTAGATGAAAGGTATAGGAATTTTAAGACATTCCTAACAAGAAGAGCCCTTGACATGCTGTGCTTAACATAATAAGTGTTTTTCAAAGCGTAAGCTATTTGCGAGAAATTGTGAACTAATTAATTGATTAAGACAAATTGAATTTTGGGTAAAATTCGCTTTAGGTAACAACATAGGGAATTCGTTTATAGTCATCCGGTATGGATCTAGATAAGGATCTAGTAATATGTCATGAAACTTTAGCTGCATCTGACCATGGGGCAGCTGTTTAGTTTGAGTCTATTTAGTGAATGAATGGGTTTGAATATAGTTATAACCAATTTTATTTGTTGTAGTTGGTATCAGAGATCATGTTATCAGTGTAACATGATATATACAAAAATAATATAGTATGTAAAAAAAGTACCAAGAGATAATATTTAAAAAAATTGAATTTTGTTCAACATGGTTATGTAGAGTGAATAAAAATGTTTAAAATACCAATTATTTTAAAAGAAAACTGTTATAAAATATTATGATAATATGTAATCAATTCGCTTAAAAGCATCAGGCTTAAAATCATATAAATGTTTTTATTAATGACTTTTGTGTAGCGTACCAAACGTTACCTTGACGGTTGTAATTTTTTTTTAAAGTTATAAATTATGATTTTTTTTCCCTTCTAAAATTACTCTGTCAACCCAAACTGTCACCGTTACAAACTGCCCTCGTGCAAAATTAAATGCATATTATTTGTAAAAGGGGAATTTTCCAAGGTAATCGCTAATGAACAAATAACATAATAATTACATAAATATAAGATTCTTTATGTGTACAGTAAACAACACGAGAAGATCAACTTATTATTCGTTTTATCACTTTTAAATCCATATTTTTTTTTTATATATTATGTTAATGCTATTCGGAATGCCACTGAATTGCAAGTATCAATAAAAGTAAACGTTTAAAATTATTGACAAATGTACACCATGAATGTTATCAGAGAGAAAAAGAATCTTCCTAATAGACCATTAGGTATGATATATGTGTACAGTGTATACAATACAACTGTATAAATGTCAACTGAACAACTTTTTCTCTTTACATGAAAAAGAATCTTGATGGATTTTAGGCTGTGTTTGGTTATGACAAAAAAGGGGAACTAGGAGGGAAACTCATCGATAAAATGTCTATATACTTTAACACACAAATAACCGACATTATAAATAAAATCAATAATTGTACGGTTTTTATCTTAGTCTTAAATAATTTACCATGATAATAGGAGATGCTGTTTGGAGTGAACGACACTCTGTGTGAAAACTAATATACATTTAAAACAGTGAAAAAATACCACTGTTTAATCACTCAAAAGTGATTTTTTTTTGTAGCAAACAGTTTTAAGTTAGTGTGATATTTAAATTAGGTTTGTACTCGACAGCTTAACCGACCAAATGAGACAATAACAACATTTTTCTGGAATAAAAAAAAATAATAATAATAACTCTCTAGTTGAATTATTTATGCGAATTAACGCGGCTTCAGCAGATTGTTTGTATTGTCTACCGCGAGTAAACATTTAATTATTTATAAACTGTTTTACTGGCAAGATGCAATTACTAAAAAAAAATGGTTTTTTTGTAGTGTTCAATCAACAGCTTTTTTGTATTATGCAAAACCGTGCGAGTTGAATTGTTATTAATAATTTTAATAAAAAATGTGACCTTTCTTCGAAAATTTTAGAAACCATAACCATAACGTTATTTTTATCTGAAAGACAGTTTATTATCAGTAAAAAAGCATTAAGATAGGTTAAATTTGTGGATGTGATCTTCCACTCGCCTCATTTCCCATTCAGTCATATTAAGTCATATTTTAGTCACATTAAGTAATTTTATACTAGATGTACATTAAAATAAGGCGTCATCGGGCAGTAGATGCGAATTCAATGGTTTTTATTCCCAAATCAATTAAGAGAATCACAGTTCCCTGGGAATTCTCACATCCCTGGTTCACGCTCCTCTGGAATTGGGCCTAGAGTGTGACCTTCTATGATATTTTTTGGATTTTAACCTTTCAAGGAAAGAAACAGAACATGACGAAAAGAGTTAAAAAAATTCCAATACTGAAAGAGACTTATGTACTTTCACGGATTTGATGGAAAAAACCAGAATTTCCTTAATTTTTAGTTCTCAACATATTTTGATCTGGAAACCAGGTTTGTTCGTTATTATATTTTGAATAGTTATATATTTTTTTTCTTCAATAATTGGTACCTAATCTGGAATCGAACCGAAAATTATGATTTGTCCTAAAAACGTTTCAAATAGATTTTTTGTTCAACAAAGTTTCGCCTACACGGGTCACGGACGCGTTTGAGTGGATTTCCAAGGGTTTATTCACTTCTATCGTGACCCAATGAACTGCTGGTTTTGGGCAAAAACCTTATTCGGTAATTAAACGTCGCCCACTTTCAGTCGTCATACCTATTACACGGACTACCGCGTTTATATGGCAAAACTGAATTTCCACAATAATAATTATCATATGTTTTTGGCTCACGTTTAATTACGAGACACGAGACTTATGTTTTGCCCATTGAAGAACCGATTTTTATCGACCAGTCGAAATTTCCAGCGAATTGTTCCGAAGTTAATAAGTCTATTTAATATGATATACATTAATTTGTCATTGAAAAGTCTTGTATCTACCAAGATGGTCGGCCGTTAATCATGAAACTGTTAACTGTGGCACCGACTCATAAAATATGAACAGACGACAAACGGCATTAAATTTAATACAAATTTCGCTATCGCCCTTCCATGTCACATGTTACCAGCATAGTATTAATTTCAGACACAACGTGTTAGGGCTTATATTTTCACAGCGCATATATTATAGCGCTGTGAAATAGATTTAACGGCAACTATGCGAGAAAGCTATTTGTATTTAGTCGTAGACGATGCGTCTGGAATATTAATAATATCCAGTTTACTCATAAACAATAACATTACTACATTTTATCGGTGAAACAGCCAGACAGAGGCTGTTTGTGCCACGAACTTCTTATTTTTACCTTTAAAAAAAAAACTCACACGGTTTTGTCAAGATAATAATTGAAATTGTATAATCATAAAAAATGGTTTCAGACACACAGCAAGCAAGCGAAAAATGTTTTCAAAACAAAGTGAACATGTTTACATTTTGACAAACAAAGTTCACTGCTATAGTGATTTTGTAAAAAAAAAAAAAATATCGGTTTTTTTTCATCGAATAATTATAAACGTATAACAAAACTTTGTAATTGTTGTTTTTAGTTTGGTGCAGTTTCAAACTGTCGATACAACGAAAACACTTTTTTTGCTTTTTACCAATTAAAATTTTCAAAAATCAGACTGGCGGGCAAATGTCTCGCCGCCGTCGAAATTAAATAAATAAATCATCCAAATCCGTCCAGACCGATTTAATTGAAGTATTTGTAAAATAATTTCTACGAAATAACGATTGATGGCTGAATGCGATAAAATCACTTTCAAATAAACAAACATACAACGGTTGGACGTCTGAAAAATATTCTCTATAAATATGACTATTTCCAAAAAAAAAAAAAAAAACTATAGCTATGTTATATTTTCAGAGAAAACGAGTGTCCAACGCTAGTCGAATCACCCTGTATATGTCATCCCAATTGTCTTGGACGTATCGCGAGAACCGTTCTATTTTGAAATTCAAATCAATTTGTAATAATAATATGATTAATGCGCTATAATTGTCGAGTACTTAGATGTTTGTAAGAGGAAACAATGCAATGACCGGCTAACGAGCCTAAACGCTTAAGTACCACGGTTTGGACGACCACCTGAGAAACGCGGTTAAGTATAGCCACTGCGGTTTGCCTAAAACAAAAATAAAATCTTATCCGAGCATTAAGCTAAGACGTACAAATAGTGCGTGATATTTCAACGCCGCCGGCAAGATTAATTTAAACGTTTCTGCCAGATCGATCCGGGGCATATCTTGGATCTATAGTCTTAAATCATGGTACAATTGACCTGTAGAAGATCAATGTATGGACTGAACTCACACGAAACGGACAAACAGCAATCATGTTATTAGTATTTTTTGATTTCCTGTGTCCTGAACATATTTTTTAGCTTTACAAAAAAATCCAGATCCTTCGGCCTTGACGTTTTAATGCTTATCTTCGACATGGTTCATCTCTTTTGGTATACATTACACTTGCTGCCTTCATTTTCACTTGCCTTCTACGGTTAGGTTGGATTGGGTTTTTTTTGAAATTTCATTAACGCTTAGTACCAGCAGAGATGGTCGGCAAAAAAAAAATTAATATTCTATTGTTACCATAATAATTATTATAGTCACGGCGGGTTTTAAAACTGAAAATTAATGAGTAAAACACTTAGTATCATTAAAAAAAAAAAACCTATTAACAAACCCCATAACAGAGACCATTCGGATAGCACAAGTTTCATCTTCATTACTTATAACCATCTGTAGTTACTATTGATCTAATGATGTCAGGTTAAGTCACATTTCTATCTGAAACACCTTTAGATTAGTCATTGATTGCCTGTTGACTTACACTTTTGATAATTAAATTCAAAAACTTATCTGTCGACCTGATTTTTGTATAACAAATTGATTGAACTACTTTTTAAGTCTAATATTTTTTGTATCGATTTATTGATCCAGATTCAAATGACCGATTCAACCGTTAGGAGGTACTACTGTTTGGATTGTCCTTAAGTACAAAAATTCGATCAAATTTCAATGAAAGCTGACTTTAGTTTTTTCTTTTTTCTACGAGCAAAAGTAGCGAAAAATATCTGACACACACACACATAGCTAATTGAAAAACTACAGTGGAGTACAGTTAAGAGTAACTGTTATTTATTAGGGCTTTGGTGGCGGCGTCAAATGGCAATCCACTTGGGCTTATTGTCCATTGTTAAGTGCGTTTGCTCCTCGCCCTTCATTTTCCTTTAATACTTTTATACCGAGGGCATATTGTTAATTGTGCACATTTATGTGGACGCGGTACTTACCGGTGCTAAATGTGCTCGTAACAGCTGTCTCTCTTAAAAAAAAAAAAAAAAAGGTCCGCCGCCCTTAGATCCGTATAGAATACAAAATAATAAATGGGTCGTAAAAATATATAATGAGAAATTACAAAAAGTAGTACATACTACAGTTAGGATACTACAAATACTACACACACACACACACACGAGTATTGTAAATGTTGTTATGATTAAATAAAACCAGATTGTGCACTTCATCAATAGATTTTTCGTCGGTTTAAACTCATCGCAGTAGGGCCAAATTATAGTGCTGAAAATAGTGTACACACAATGATAAAATATTTGTTTCATTTAATCTGTGCTGTATACTTTTTAGCGAATCATTTAGCGCGCGTCAATCTATTTTTAACTTCGAAAGACTTTTATCCTTTAAAAATAAAAAGGCATAAGGGTAGTAGTGACGATTTTAATTACCCGAGACTAAATTTATCGACCGTAATTACCAATCATTAATTTCGTATAAACGCAAAAGGATCAAGCGTTGTAAATTGAAAATGTTTTTCTACGGCAAATAGATCCCTCTTCTCTAAGCCGTCCATTAATCAATGTAGATCTTCTCTAATATCGTTCCATCGGTCTTCATCCGGAGGTGATCTCTTCGTGGAGATTAGGTAATCCCTAGACTGTTGTTGAACTTATCTAAATTGTAACGAATCACTGCGAAAAGTCAACCGTGTCTTATATTGTTTGCAATCCGAAAAGGATATTATTTTTTTTTCGTTGTTGTTTGTAAAACCGATTTATAAATATTTTGGCGAATGCCGTTCGTCGAGGAAGAGCTTGTTTTAAATAATAATAATTTCGATTCGCATATCGGTTTACTTTTGGATAATTTATTCCACAAGGAATTATGGTTATTTTGAGAGAATTTTAACAAGGGCCTACATAACATTACGGCTGTTTAATAAAGCGGACGAGGCACCATATTAAACGTTCACTGATCTTCACGTGGCATCGACCAGTTTTTAAACGCTTTTGTTTACTTCCACAAAATATAAGTGGTTTTACTCAGCAAACCAAACTATTACTGCTCCCTGTAATGTCGATTAGGCCCTTGACAGAGCCACCATGCTATTTGGTGGAGATATCTGTGTTTTTGTTGCACTCTATAATTTTTTTTTTTTTATTTGATATGAACGGTATAAAAAGGTAAAAACTACATTTCTGCAAATGATAATAAATTCAAACAACTGACGGATACTATAAATCATAGTCACAATATTGCACCATCATGCATATATTTTTATCTTAGTCACGCGTGAGTTGGATTGTTAAATAATAACGTTAGAATGCAAGGAAAGCTATAAGTCACGGTGTTGTGCTTTGTTCAAATCGAAATGGAAAAACTAAGATGCAAAAAAAAGATTTAAAAAAAAAAATGATTTAATTTTAACTGTTTTTGTTTAACTTAAAATATATTGGTCGAGATAAGGTCAGAAAATAAGACTCAAGGTAGATCTGGGACTATAAAATATCTTATTTTTTTTTTTCAATCTGTAGTCAATTTTTTTTTATAAGGATAAACCGAAAAAGGGGAAAAAGACACTTTGAAAAATACCATCAACTGTTTGGATCTCATATTTTTATTATTTTTGAATTTGTATACCAATTTCACAGATTGCCATCGGTTGGATTGAAAATCAACTGCGACTTTATAGCTACAGAGAAAACCTATAAAAAAAAAGGCATTGTGTACTTTTTGTGTTTCGAAAAAGTTCAGCCAAAGTTTGTATTTAAAACTTTCACCAGCTCTAATTATTATTTTCGTGCACAATACTTTGGCATTATTTTTTTAATCAGTGAATTTACATTTTTTCTTTATCCGGCAAAATGGCACTTTGTCGACGGATGACAAATTTATTTGTTTTTAATGTTTTTATTTTCCAGGAAAGATGTAGAAAAATACTAATGCATTTCAAGGCATAAACATAACCACCAGTTGATTGACTGGCTAATTATTAAGTGTAATTAGTATAAACTGGCACATTAGATATTGGCGATATTCAAAATAGCCTGAGGACAAGTAAAACTATGATTTACTGTCGCTTTGAGTGGTACACGACACTGACAAGTTCTGTTTAAATGAAGATACATATTACTGCACGTTTCGCGTTACACTTAGTTCTATAACAATGCAAGTCGTTAGTAGTGCGAAAAAGTGGAGGGGGGCACTTCTAGGTGTCGGATGTCTTGTGATGTCACGAATGCTAAAGCAAATAATAAACGGCTATTAGACTAGAGACGTTTTCCGCATCACGTGTTGCTGATAAAAACGGTCTCGTGTGCCAACATGGCTTTTGCTATGGAAAATACCCACAGAAACGTTTTCCACGGTTTGTTGAATGTACTTCGGATGAATTTACATCAGCGGTATCTTACTTTGGGTTTTCAGAAGTTCCACAAAGTGTAATATTATAATTCAAGAGGTCGATCAATTCTATGGCGTCTACACTCAACAATGCCACCATTGTCTTAGCGACGGTCACTTTAGTTGCGCATGTCCCTTCGGCAACTACATCGGCAAGTCTTACATGTAGTTACATTTGTGTCCATGACAAATCAATTTCTCAAAAATCGTCCCATTAATTATGTATTTAGGTCAGCAAAATGTGTCAATCAGAATTATTAATATGTTTCAATAACAAAGGCAAACGAAAAAAAAAAAAGGTAAATTAATAGCCACTTCTTAACCCACCCCTGACTGGGTCCATTGTCTACGGCTGACCCTTTCAAAGCAACTCCTGACGTACAGATAGTCACTCGAATAAAAACCACTTGGGAATAGTTTGACAGCATTGTCTGTACACCTCACACTTCTGTCGAGTTTTGAATTTCTACATTTATTCCAAAATCAACCACACGGGTGGTCTTTGTCTGGCAAGCAGTTTATGGTCAGTGGTGACACGGGGAACTTGTGGATACAAGTTTTCTCTCATTTGTATTTTAGTTTTCTTAACAAATCCGTTTGGTAGGTAAACTTACTTGATGGATCGAATCCGACCACATAAGACGGACAGGGCGCTACCGCAGTGGCGCCAGGTAGCGTCTCGTCCCAGCACGCCCACCCGTCGAACGATTTCGGACAAGATTTGTCCGATTCCACTGCAAAGTACAAAAATCAAATTTATTTTTTTTTTTCACTTAACTCCACCAGACGAGACACTTCAGATACCTGTTGAATTGAAGTAACATTTCTCTCGGAGTTGCATCAGAAAAGTGTACAATTCTGGATATTTGTTGCCGAACATATTTTGATCTACCATTCTGGAACATAAAACACTTGTGTTATTCGTTTTGGACATGTTATGCCGGTTTCACCAAATATTGTTAAATACACTCTTAACACAACGTTAGTTAACAATTCATTTAAATTTAACATCTGGTCAAATGAAATAAGTTTCACCATGACATTATTATTGTTAAATTCTATTTGTTAAGTTTACAAAACGTTAGTTGGGTTACCAAAGCGGTTACCTCGATTCCAACGTTCTCATTGGTCATTAAGATGTGTGATAACTCATAAGTGATTGTATTATTTAATTTGACAGTTTGTTATTATTTGACATTTTATTTTACTTTCTTTGGACGTTTCGGTTTATATAAATAATTTATACATAATTGTTTAATACATTGTTTACATAGTCTACACTTTTCTAAAAATAGTTTGTCATCAAGGTCATTAAAATAATTTTTTTCTATTTGGAAGGCCTAAAAAAAAAAGTAGGAAGTGATAAGAATTATTTCCATTGTTATACTCAAGACAGACAAGACATAACAATATTAGCTAAATTACAAAATACAATAAATTATGATATTTTAACCTATAATGCAAAGTCTGTTCCATTCCTTTTTACCTAACCTACATAATATAACTTCTGCTTACCTAATGAAGGGTTATTAGAGTTGTCATTTCTATTGTTCTCTAAATACTCAATATAAAGAACGTCCTCATCAAATGTGTGACTTATTATATACTACTAATATACTCAGGTCAACAAAAATAATGAAACAATTAATGAACTATAATAATATAATATTATATATAAGTACTGCAATACATTTTTAACATGGCGATTAACTTTTTAACAAGCCGATTTCGGGTGATTAATTTAACAATCGTTTTGACAATGTGTTAGGGCTAAGAAATCTCGATGAAACCCAATTTTCATTAACTAGTTGTTAAATATAATTAACAAAAAGTTAAATTCTTAACAAATGTCGGTGAAACCGGCTGCAAACCCTTAATTTAAGCCTTTAATATAAAAAAAAAATATATATTGAGAACACTTTGCACACTCGATAATCCTTTACTTCAGATAACGCTGCCTATTTTCTTAGCGATATTATCATTTTGATAGCTCGAACAAAACAAGCTTACTTTTTATTAAACGGGACAACCCGAGTATATTATATTGGTATATATATATATATTTTTTTTATTTATATACACAACAGGCTGTTGTGTAAAGCGTTAGTTTATACGACGTGGTGTTTATAGTTTTAGGAGTTTTTATTATAGCCATTGAAAAACGTTGTGACCATTTAACAGGAACTTGCGTTTTTCTATAATCTGATAAACAAAACAGCAACTGCGGATTAACGAATTTTCACCGCCCTCTACAGTCCAATACAATAAATGATTTGAGGTTAGGTTAGGTTAGGTTCTTGACCTACACGCCCTACACAGAATGTGCGCCAACGTTACCTTGTAAAATTCAAGTTGTTTACCATTGTTAATAATAATATAAAATATATAATTGCCAGGTTATACCCAATATATTAACCCAGACAATCGTTTCTCCAGACCGAGCGTGTTTCCTACACTGTTTAATTACATTGAATGTGCGTACTTAGCACCTCTGTGTTAATTTCGTTAATGCACCCACACATAAACGTTTTTGTGGATCAACACGCAATTTTAAAGGTATTCATAAATATTATAATTTGCAATGTGCGTGACACCGCCGTTTTTCGTACCATCTCTTCTGTCGTGACACATTCCAATCAAATACACACAGGCTGTATAACGACCTTGTTTTTTTATAATATCGGTGTGCATTTTATGTTATTTCAAAGTTCCTGCCTTTTTCTGTCTGTTCGACAACGTTAATATACTCAATTATTACTAGACTTGATAACAACTCATAAAGGCCCTGTTGATGTACTTATAATAAACTTTGACTTTTGAACGTCATTAGGTGAAACATAATGCACGTTAAAAAGCCTAAATCTAAAGTTTTACCTTATGTAGTTTTTCGTATGAACATCATCAACTTTTAAAATTAAAATGGGAACTCCTATATATTTAATTAGGTTTTTTAATTTATGCTGAACTTTTTTATTGGTCACCGGTTTTGGATAATTACTTTTAAAGTTATTAGAGTTTCAAATTTAGATGGAGTTCTTTTTAATAATGTACACAGATATGATGCACTCCACTTTTTATGAAGTATTAAATTTGCAAAAATAACTTATACTCAAAATTGGTCAACATTTTCATCAAATTATAATTATTTTAAATAAATCTACAAAATTGGAATTATTTTCTGAGAAATATTTCATTATCAAATACACGAAGGCGCGATTGATGTTTGTATTAAACTATCGTTTAAGATAACAGAAGCCATAAAAAAATCGTCGGTATATTAACTTCTCACGCTATGGCTACAATACAATACCGTGATCGTCGAATTCCATTAACTTTACAGCCTATAATAACCGACTGGCCGAGTTGCAACAACATTTAACCGGGTCGAATCGCATGTTTATCCGCACTTATACAAATCGGATTTTTTAAAACAAAAATTATGAAGCAAGCAAAAAGGCCATCTGCAGTGTGGCCATCATGACGAAATCACATTTCCCTGGTACATATGCTCAATTTTGTTCACTACACTGTTTTCTGTATAGTCGATAAGGATTATGCTTTGCAGTATTGAACAACTTATTCGCGTTTAAGCGTTTCTTTCAGTTATAATAATTTCTTTAGACCTGTGACCTCCTCCTCTCCAAAAACGCTTGGTCTCTACTTTGCCCCACTTTGCAGGATTTTTTTTTCACATTCTTACAGTTGCTGAGCTCACAAAAAATCCGTTCGACGTGGTTGAACGTTGGCTCTTTTTTTTTTTTTTACTTAACACTCGAAGAAAAGCACATATTTACTTTTTGGCAGGGGAAAATTTCGATTTCCTGGTTACTGTAAGTTTGCTTCGTAAACGGTATGTAAATGCGCCGTTATTGGCTGTCGACTCAGCGCGCAATAATTTGAGCAAAACGCCGTTTCCCTTTTGAAAACCCACCGTCGAGAAAACTATGCGACAAAGGTAAAACTTTGCGTAGGCCCGAGATTAATGCACGCAAAGTTTACGTATATAACAATAAAAGTTTATTGTACCCGATAAACGAACGACTAATTATTGATACACGAATGCGTTATAAGAAAATCATCTTGGCCGTAAGTTCAATTACCTATATAGAGCGTATCCCACGGATATTGTAATATCCGAATTATTTTATTTATACGGTTGAATTTCGTTTGTTTTTAAATAAACTCTAAGCGTTTAAGCTGGAAAAGTGTTGTCACGATAACATGATACAAACACAAAAAAAAAAAATAACTATAGTATGATATTAAAAAATTGAAAAAAACCTAACCTAACCAAACCAAACCTAACCAAACCTAACCAAACGTAACCTAACCAAACCTAACCAAACGTAACCTAACCAAACCTAACCAAACCTAACCAAACCTAACCAAACCTAACCAAACCTAACCTAACCTAACACAAAACAAACCTATTTTGATGAGTGAGCTGTGGAACTGAGAAGGTAATAGATGTAATAAGAATATTTTTTTTAAAATTAATTTATTTTTTGTATCTCTTACTACGGACATCCTTAGATGGTGTTGGTCCAAGACAATACCATTAACCGACATAATACAATTAAGACAGATTTGTGACTTTATTGTAATATAAGCCGATAGAAAAATGTGTAGTAGCTTCGATGGGTAGCTAAGAGGTACTGTTTCTGAAACAATTTCTCCGTGTAGCAAGTAAAAAATTATAAACTTTTAAAAAAAAGTACTACCAATAAACATATTAAACGATTTTTTTTTCAATAAAATACTAAAGATCAGCCTCTAAAGCGAGTATTTTATTAACAATCTGTATTGAGTGATTTTATAAATTATCACTTTCACTTCAAATAATTTCACTGTTCCCCTACCACACTGCACTTGCCTTTTTCTGTATAATAATAATAACTGACTTGGCCAATAAATGAACAATCATTGTTCAAACATCGAGACAGCGATTAAACATAATATAGACATGACAACAGCAGCTGATATGTGATATGATATGTTTTTTACTTGTTTAGGGATCTGAACGTCTTGGACCATACGTGCGGGCACATTAAGACAACCACAGCACAAAGGCCTTGTTAGAACAACAACCGTTAGTATGAAGTAAACGGAATACTAGAATTATGGATGGAGTTGGTGCGAAACTACAGCTGTGTGTCTGTATCAGTCTGTTTATTTATGTAATTGAATCGAATGTGAAGCTTTCAATCTGCTCTCAGTGAATTTGGCACATTTTGGCAGCGGTGTGAAAATTATATTATAAAAACTATAATATTGTAATTATTTTCCGAGATAAAGAGTGTCTTGCATTAAATAGATCACTCGAGGTGCACCAGGGCCGACAACGGTTTAAATGCACCGTGAACAAAATATAGCTGTTGAGATAAAAACAAATATCCGAACAAAACGAATCAGAATAAAAATATTACAGACGATATAGTTTCGTTTTATCGAGTGGGCAAGGCGAGACGGATATGTTCTATTCACTCTTGTTTTATTTTATTGCAAAAATACAATTTTGTAAACGTATAAGGATAAATTGAACTATACAAGCCGTACGACCGTGTGCTATAATATAATATACACCGACTTCCATCCGGTTCGGTTGAGATGTTCCGGAAGTTCTGAAGCCTATTGTTAAACTTGCTTGCTACACTAACCTAAAACAATATGCAATATCGTCCACAGAGTGCACGCATAGGAAATTATTAGCCGGCGAACATTCTGGAGGACATCCAATGTAGATTTACTGTACTGTGAAATTAATTAAGCGTGATAATTGATTTATCCATAGTAGGGGATAATAATAATATATTGAGCTTAGAGTGTTTCAAACGCCCATAGACAAGTAATGCACCGTCTGATAGTAATGTTGAAATATTAACCATACTCAAGGTTACTTTATGAAACTTACCTCCCCATTTAGTCTGTTAACGTTGACCATTTTTGACGATCATTTAAAACCTAGCTACCAAAAATGTTTAGTTTTCTTTCTGCTCGGATTAACACTTACACATTCAATCAATGAATCGATAACAGCAGCTAATAGCCATCCAAATTATCTCTCATCGCCAGCCTACCGTGACCTATCAAAGAACTCCACACAATTCGTCTAACCCAATCTACAATTCTTACCCTATTTTGTGTTTCATTTTCCTCCCTTAAAATTACCCCTAATGTCTTTACAAAAACTTTTTGACAAGAGTCTATTTGGAATTGGTCTCCTACTTGTACAGTTTATATTGCAGCTATCAATTTAGACACTGTAATAGATAGGAATAAATATCTCTTTAGTCTTTTACAGATTACAAAACTCCATTACAATGGTGTGGTTGTTTTCAAAAAGTATTTGTAGTACACCATTAGAGACATACCCAATGGAATAAATCAAATAGTATATAATATCCTAAACAAATACAGATAATAAATCAGTGAATCATATTGATTGCAATTAATATTATTATTGTTTTATGTCCAGCAAATCTTATTAGGCGACTTAATTCAATATTAAATTTAAGTCAACCTGAGAGCGAAAAAATCTAAATTCAACTTCTTGATCTTAATCATTTAACGCACATAATTGTGAGCAAAATATTTATATTATTTGTTAGCCAAAACTTGTAGGGTGTAATATATTTTACATGTATAATATATTCGTCGGGGTCATACGTGCCTTTTTGTCAGTATTTTCGTCGAAGAATAGATGTAAAGCGCTAACTATTGAACTGCTTATCCACTCACATACACACACACACACAATTTTTTCAAACTTTGGAATGAACCGAAAAGCGATCAGACATGCAAGCTCGCCACTACATGCATTATTATTAGTGGCACGTATTTTCCAAAAGAGACACCGCACCGTGTGCAGATAAAGCCACGGTTATCGAAATTTAAGCCATAACATCTTCAATCTCCCTCCGAGTGTCTGTTTTCTTATTTTACTATTTCGTTTACATCTGTTATTTCTACAGTCTAAGTCCAGATCTCAATCCAGCCTCTATTGCTTTTTCTATTTTTGGAGCCAACCCTAATCCACCACTCGTTGCTAATTCTGCCTAACGTTCTGCCAGCAGACTTGCTACATGAACAAATCGGTTCAGCGGTTTCAACGATAGTGTGGGCTTAGAGTCTTTAGACACAACGAAAATTAGAAACGCATACTAAAACCTACTGCTGTGTCTTGTGGCTATTTTATATTTTTATTCTATATCGGTAAAATATAATACTATCGAGCAATTTAAAACCTTGAAACTTATCAAAATAGAATATGGGAAGATCCACGTTTAAGAATGTTGAACGGTAAACAACAGTATAATTAAATTTATCTAGGGAAAACTGAAACGCTTGAGTGGTGCCTGCGAAAAACAATTATCATCATTTTTTAATTCCATTGTGTTCGGAAATAAATTCATGCAAATAATTGGCGTTCTGAGCAAACAGCAATTAATTCAGGATCTTGAAAACACTACTATTTTCTTATGATTAAATAAGAACGTGTTATGGGGATGTCGTCGGTTAAATTCTACTCACAAAACAACCTCAAAGGAATTGCTTCGTTTGTGATTCATGTACATATAAAAGTATAATGATTCAGGTTTTTTTTTTTGCCTAGATAATTACTGTAATTATTCACTGTCCACCGTTATGAATATGTTCTCTCAAAGCCCATTAATTAATATAGTCTTTTTTTATTAGAAAATAAAATAATATTCATCTTGATTCGACCTCGCAAAAAGTGTTTCAACTAATTGCATTGACTTAAAAAAAAAAAAACACTTAAAATGCGCAACGGGTTCGAATAAATTACAAAAAAATGACCATGTTTTAGTGTTTAAATTGCATAATTTTAAATAAAAATAACTCGAATGAATTTGAAACAAGTATGTATTTTTTTTTTTTTAGAAAATTATGTTTTATATTTGCAAGCGCCATTATTACAAATAAAGTCATGACTTTTTTAGATAGACTGAAAAATTTTACTCTCTAGAACGCCCATTATTTTTAACTACTAACGAACAACACTTGTTTCTGATGGGTTTTTTTTTACAGAATAATAATAATCCATTTATTAAACGATACAAATTTACTATCGGTTATCATTTGATCCTGTTATTTTCAAGTGTTGAAAAATGCAACACCAAAAAGCAAAATATTTATAAATGTTATTCATCAAACAGTATGGACTTATATTTGAGACGCTCAGCGATACCAAACCGATTAACTCCACTTTTTTTTTCAAATTGCGAATAATAGCATGGTTGGATTAAAAAAGTGTATAATTTTCTGTGGCCAAGATAAATAACACCATAATTGAATTTTTCACCACTAGAGTGCGCAATTGTACTTACATACATTGTTTCAAATAACTTTCACTGCCTGTCCGGAAAAATTTAATTAAATGGAGTTAATCAGTTTGGCTTCTGAGCGCCTCATTAATGACTATGAGCTAAGCCCGTCAAAAACTACACAAATTCAAACGGATAAGTATACTTAGACAAAATATATGGCTGCTGGCGTTGAAACCATTCGTCTATTGTTCTATAATATTATTATATACATTTTGTGGGGAAAAAAATTGTCTCGTCTCGAAATTTCGCCCCGTTCCCGGCTAAACGATGGGAAGTCGAGTCCAGCTGTGGATATAACAATCGTTTGAGCGACACTGTATAGTAACAATAATAATATGCATACCATGTGCTGGTAATAAATTACACAGACTGATGAGAGCGCAGTGGTGGCTCATTAATAACGACATTTTTAAACCATCGCAATTTATACCAAAATAGTCACATTAAAAAAAAACACACACACACACATATAAAACAAGCGCAAAATGTAAAAACGTTCAGCAGCGTCACGTTTTCGGGTCAATCCGAGCGATTACTGTTAGAGCATACAAATATATGTATTTATTGTAATTAAACGTTTAAAACAACATAACATAGTACACACATTTCATATTTGATTAGCAGCTACACGTGTACAAGCGATGGCAATACTCTCGATGAGGTTACAGTAAATGGAAATGTGTTTTCCTTCATAAAAATAGAGTTTCAAATTGAATAATGTGTAAACTTTTTGAGTGTTTCTTCTCAATTGTAAAAATGGGAAGTGATGATCTTTTTTAACCCGATAAAGTACCTTTCGGGTACGATTTATGATCATTAGACTTGCTACATGAAGAAATCGAGATAAATATACATCACTGTAAAAACAATCCTTTATCAGGTTCGCACTTCGCATAAAATATTTCTTAAACTCTATTTAATTGATACAGTTAAACTAGTCTGAGTATTTCTAATGTTGTTTTGCTATGGACATATTATGATGTCGATGTAAGCAAATACAAAAAAAAAAACACTATTAAAACTTTGAGCTCAATTTAAATTGAAAATGATAAAACAAATAAAATATTATGTACTATAGATCAAACTTAATATTTTGGGAAAAGTCTACAGCGTGCATTCTATTTATTTACCTTTTAATTATTGTGGAAGAATTGAATTTGAATAACACAAAGCCTTAAAGCTCTCTGGGCGACTATCTGAGAGACTATCTTGAAGGATATTCAACGATGAATCCGTAGCTGAAAGAACAAAATATATGTACTTACTTTGAGTCTGTCAAAAAACATTTTATACTTTAATCCTATTGCTGTGTGAAATACAATTAAAATTTATAATATAACAACCAGCTATATTTAGTTAGATATAACATTTATTTCATTTGTTTGCCAAACCTAAACCCCTAAAAAAGACTGAAGCTGATCTCCAATTTGTACACTTGATTGTGTTGCAAGTCATTATTATTTTAGTAAACATTGAAAAAAAATACACGATAACGAAAGTAAATAAAACATGATTATTGAAACGAGTAATTTTTACTTCATTATATAGTTTTTCTTTGCTTATAAACTGCAGACAACACGGCTAATCAATAATTATTATTGTTTCTCAAATATTAATTAAACTGTCAAAATCACCTCCGCAAAATATAACAATATCAAAACGGTTCTCAGGGTTACAGCTAATTAAATTGATCGTCTTTATATCCAAACAAAAGTGGCACACATAAAAAATTATTTGTTTTAGACTACTCGTGTGTGGCTGTTAAAGTCTATGATGGCTATAGAATACAAATATTCGGTGCTAAGAATTCCGTATCGGTGTATTTTTGATATTAAATTCGTTTATGCTATTATTAACCACGAGTAGGTAGGTCGCGAGTGGGTATTCAGCCTGGGATCACAATAATAATTAACGACAACAAAACACACTCGGTACCGGGAATCCCGCTTCTCTGAACTTCTTACGGCCATTGTGTGTGTGTGTGTCCCGAATTCCCAGAAACAAGTTTGGTATTTCCCATTATAACGGATTTGTTGCCTTAGACCTTAGGATGCGCACTCTGAGAAAAGAAGCCAAAGACAAAAATGTTCAGAAATAGCAATTACGCTTTTTTTCAGCCTTACGAGAATCCGACAACACAAAAAGTAGGATATCATACTATATCGCTAACCTAACCTAATTTTTGAAACAATATTATTTTCACTCTATTGTACGTTACCTGTACAAATCATGAACACAACAAAATAGTACACCGATGAAATTTACTTCATTTAAATATGTATCGGGTCTTTTCCGCGTTGATTAATGGCAATTTTTTTTCTCGATGAGTTTTACACTTTTGTTGGTTCGCACCAACACATTGGTTTTATCGATTTTACCCGAAATTCGACTTCTATTTCAATTAACAAGTTTTGCTATTCTAACTTGTAAACGAATTTGCTTTGGAAATAAATCAAACCGGACAACACATTTTTGACGGGGGGGGGGAGGGGGGTTTAATTACTTAAACAAAGGGTTACAAACGAATAGCTGGTTGTCTTTTGTTAACTTGTGTGTTACAGCTGTTTGTTTTTAAACAAAAGGATCATTAACTGTATTTTTAGGGATAGTCTGATAGTTCGAGATGAACACGAGAAAAATTTACAAATTAAACAAAATTTTAAGTGCAATAATTAATTCAAAGCAGCTAGGAGCAATACGAGTTGACTAAAACACGTTATATTTTCGTCTATCTGTTACACGCCGTGTTACTTTTGGAATACAATATAAAATCTATTGATTTTGTTTTTTTAATTTAACACTTGTACACAAATAATATTTTCTATAAAACCAATGCTGCTTTTTACGAGCACATGTCAGTAGCGTAACAATTATTTCGATGGTTCACATCAAATATCATGTAAATAAATACACAGTTCGTAACCTTCAGTTAGCTCTCACCTCCATCGATTTATCAACCGGTCAGCAAACAGTTTTCAACAGCCAAGTGTGTTAAATACATTTTTTGACCTGAAAATAACAAAATATATGGTAATCATTTATTCCTGTCTACATATCAGACATTTCATTTAAATTTACATTAGACAAGCGACCCTTATGACTTAAAAGTATTAACCCCTTCTTGAGTGTTATTGAGTGTATTGTAAATTATTTTTTTTAATTACTCGATACGGAGATAAACCATTGATGTTGTTAAATTGTCTAACAAGAATATACTATTGCTACACTGACTTGCAACAAGTCTTGTTAACATATTGTATAACTTTATTTTTTTATCAGTACTCCCATTTTATCCATAAACTAATAACAAACGATAATGGTAAAAATAAAAAGGCGTTTTTATTTAATTACTAACGTCGTGCATAATATGTAGTTCATTCGAGGGTGTACATACTCGGTGACATTAAAAAATAAAAAATGTTTAAAAAAGGATAATAATGCTTACCCATTAATCATTGTGGCCGAACCACACCTGTAAGACCTAACCTGACGTGTGTTGGCTTCGTTGATTGTAGCACGTACGGTCACCAGAACTTTTTATGTGATTTGAATATCAATTTTCACATGTTATAATATTATATTTTGAATTAACATAATAATATTAGTAAAAAATACATTATTTTTCCCGGCAAACTCCTTTTGATTTTACGTCGACCGAGCACATTAATAAAATATCCACAATAAGGCCGTTTTAGTATTTTAAACATTTTCCAACTTTAATCGATTCGCTTCGAAGCGTTTCCTTTGTAACCGATTGTATCACCTAAGTAATAAGTTCCAGGAATTCCTTAAGAACCTGTAACTGCTCCTCCGTCACTGCTGGATTTTTTATTATTATTATCAATAAAAATAATTTGTAATAGGAATTTAGAAAGTTTTCCCCATTATAGCAACGGCTGTCATATTTTCTTTGGCAGAATGAATAATTATTTCAAAAATCGCCAAAGCGATTTTATATAAAATATTGTAAGCTCAATTATTTTTATTTTAAAGTAATTTCTATTGTGGAGTGTGTATGGGCTATGCAACGGTTTATACAAATTTCCAAAACGTTTAGTGGCGTTTAAACTATAAAGGTATTTTCAGGGTTGTGCCACCGTTGTCGTTGGCGATAAATAATGACCTTTATTATGGCTTAACCGATAGTATGATAATTATATAGCTATTTAAGGCCGATCGTTCACCGAGATAGCTAATTCTGGATTTCAACCAATTATATATAATATAAACTCTGGACGTGGGGATTTGAATTTCGATTTGATCCTTTGCCGGTGATGAGTATGTTTGTGTGTGCATTAATATACCGCAAGTCCCTTGACGATTCACTCGCTGCAATAATTTCCTCTGGGTAAATAAATATACATCATCTATGGTTGGTTTTAAATTATTTTTATGCTTATGCTATTTCATTTTTTACCTTTACAGATTTTCGAATAAATTATACAGGTTATGGGCCCACTCGAGAGCCATAGCAATAAAGCATACGTTTTGAATATCCACTCTACAAGTTTAAAAGCATAGCCACCGCAGCTGTCTAAACCATTCGAATCTTCAAAACCGCTTGCACAAAAAAATAGCAAAATCTATTAGGTTTTTAATATCTTTAAGAAGACATTGCAATCGGCAAATCCCAGTGGGACACCCTGTTAATATTGTATGCAACATAAATATAGTGTAAGTAGAGAATTCCTAACCCCCTCATTTAATTATATTGCAAGACAGCTAAGATAAGTACAAAAGGTTTGTGATAGGATCGTGATTTATCGTGTACACATAAACTTTAGTCCTTACAACGCTAGCTGGGACAGCATAAGGACAAATTTCTGTACACTAACCAATCCAGCCGTCTACAAAACGAAAAGTAATGTGGGATTTTTCACGGTAATGTAGATGTAACACAACATAGTATTAATATATTATTATATTCTACGTTCGGTTTATCTTTATTTCGATGGGTTCGATGCGCTTAATATTTCTCTTGCCCAATCCAATACCGTGTCAAGCCTTATGGGCTTTAGCGCCAATCGAAAATACAGGATAATTTATTAAGGATAACCAACTAATATTTTCAGAACTGAAATTCTTTAGCTTTTCTTTTTGAACGGTAAGGTTAGATTCGGAAAATTTTGACTGGTCGATAGCCATTTATCGAAAATTACTTATAAAATAAGTAAACTTTAAAATGTATGACGGAAATAATGGACGAATTTAGTAAAAGTATTTTCAAGTAAAAAAAAAATACAAAATTACAAATTTAATTAAAATGTCGACCTTCAGAAATTGTAAACACCACAAAAACAACTAAACCAAATGGTCTATTAATAAATTTTAATTATTCATTTCTTTTATGTTATGTTTAATAGTTATTTAAGTTTTTTTACTTTATGTCAGGTTAAGAATTATGGTGGACTTTAGGCCAAATTTCTAGATAATATTTATCAACAATAAACAGGGCTTTTAAATGTAATTTTGCTTAAAAAAAAAATTACGTACAAGTTTGTGCAATAATTCATTACTTATCCAGTAGGAAACCTTTTTACTATTGTTGTTGGTAGAGTTTCTTAGCTGTTATAATATTATATAACACACTGTTGGATGCTATTTATACTTAATATAGGAAGTTTTCAGCAAGTCAACAATGTGTGTATTGGCACCACTGCGCAATTATTACTTTGCCAATTTAATTTCCAAATCTGTCATATCGCACACGTGAGAGCCAGTAGGAGTTTTTGTTAATAATAATTGCTATCCTCTGTACATTTCCCAACGCCTAAATCCGACACGTGTATTTCATACAACAACTCATGTGGACCACGCAACTGCCTGCACATTGAATATCAACGTTGTAATTTGTACCCACTCTTTTATTATTAGACCAAGTGAAATGTGCGAAACGAGCACATGTTTACTGGTTTTTTATTGTAATAATTAAAAGATTTTAAACTCAATTTTAATGGATTTCTGTTACGCGAAAAAATAAATCAAAATTTTTTTCAGAAAGCTGAAATTGCTTTACATAAGAAACTGATTTTTAATCAATTTTTTTTTTTTTGACCTAAGATACTATAAAAAAACGATAAAAACGAGGTGTCTAGACAAAAACTCAATAATACTTTTTACGATCATGGCAAAAAAAAAAAATCCAAATAAATTTGAAAACTTTCTTTTCATCGTAACAGACATGCAGAGTGATTTTCAAAAAAATTGCCAGAGGTCGGTTCAATGGTTCCTTCATATTTGGCATGGGGAAAAAATATAAAATAAAATCCCATCAGTCTATTTTACCTCCGTGCATAGTTGACGTTTGGTCGATAATTTTCTGAGTAAAAAACAAATCCGATTATATCAACTTTGGTTTATTTCTATATGTGGGTCATCTTTTTTGCCTGGCAACGTTTTTATCCCCAACGGATAATTAAATTGGGTCCCTAGAGGGCTCGCCAGCGTATACAGTTACACAAAATGTGGTTTTGTTGTTTAAGTGTGTCCGGGCAACTAAAATCAACGTACTAAAGAATCCGACAACTCAAAATAATATTCATCTGACCGTCACAGTACAATCCGGGATAGTATAATAAAAAGTTTAAGTTTATACAAGATAATTCTTTTAGAATAGTTGAATTTCTTAATTTCAAAAAATAAGGAGGATATGTTAAAATTTTCAAGCCAGTACAGTGCAAACCTAGCACAGTGTACACCAGCAAAGTTAGAAAGTACTAAATTGAGGTGTTCTTTTTACAAATAAGCATCAAAGCGTTAATTTGAAAGTGATATTTTCAACTTGTACCCCCCCCCCCTACCCTCAAGTACCAACTAGATGAAATTTGTGATTTATAGAGGTGCTACTCGAAGGAATTAGTCCAGTATAAAAAAAATTACAGTGTATACAGACAAAAAAAAATCATCATGGTAGAACCAATACCTTCTCTGCTTTGCATCAAAGTTAAAAGTGGGAAGGAAATGTTTACTCTCTTACTGGCAAACGTATCGAAATGGATATATTTGTTGATAAATCTTCATTGTGTTTATATTTGTATATTTTACTTGATTTACTCCACGTGTAACGAAAAGGGTCTTGCAAATATGGTTTTTTTTTTTGTTATTTCTAAAACGGATTTTTTTGAAATATATTAAATTTAACTGGCATGCAAATAACGAGGGACGGAAAGAAAGACAATGCAGTGAAGCCATAATGTTATTACTTGACACGCGTGGATACTTGTTTGCTGAAAGAGACATAATCGACGTTGTGCATATTATTATTTCAAATAGAAAAAATATTATTTAAGCAGCAAGGAACGATGGTTTTGCTGTTAAGTTATAATTTTCTTTAATGAATGGCCATCGCCGTGAACAACCATTTATTGTCGGCTATTTTCAGAACAGCTCCACGTGAAAAAAACAATACATTTGTATGTCAAACGGGCCATCAGTTATGAAATTTAGACTAAATTTAGTCATGAAATTTAGACATTACAAACTGTCGGCCGTTATAAAATGAGTGGAGAATAATAAAAATGCAAAAGAGCGGTCAGACTTAGCTATAGAAATTATTTTAGTATATCCACCCAAAACGGTTTTGTATGATGGTAAGCTTGACAAGTAAGCTGTACCCTTTAAATAACTAAGAAAAAAACACAATATTACAGTAATCAAAACGACACGCATAAATTTACAAGAAAAGTGAACGAAAAAATACCGTTTGGGTTTATTATATTGTGTCTGATAGATGTGACCCGTGGTGTGGTATTTGCTCTTTGATATTACATTATGTTACCTTATCTCTTCATACGCATATTTTGTGCAACATTCCTCAGGGTTAGTCGTTTTTGGACGGTTGAACGGGTCATACAGTTGAATTCTAACAAAAGTATTAAAGTATTGCCGAGAAGAAAGTAGATGAGAATTTAATGGCTATATATATACAATATATATATATAGCCAAATCGGATTTTCTTTTAATTTAAAAATAATTTACCGACCCACTACGCTTTGTACTTTTGTTTCAA